AATGATGGAACCATTGGTTTCCTTGATATGTCGGTTGTCCTTTAATATTGGTTACATCAAAATAAAGGATCCAACGGTTCCCTTAATATGTCCATTGTCCCTTGATATTGGTTACCTTGAAATGAAGGAACCATTGGTTCCCTCAATATGTTCGTTATCCCTTAATAATTGGTTGGTTACCTTGAAATGATGGAACCATTGGTTCCCTTGATACGTCGGTTGTCTTTTAATATTGGTTACATCAAAATAAATGATCAAATGGTTCCCTTAATATTAGTTACCTTGAAATGAAGGAACCATTGGTACCCTCAATATGTTTGTCCCTTAATATTGGTTGCCTCAAAATAAAGGATCCAATAGTTCCCTTGGTAGGTCCGTTGTCCTTTAATAGGTTCTCTCGATATGTCGGTTATCCCTTAATATTGGTTGCCTCAAAATAAAGGATCCAATGGTTCCTTTGATATATCTGTTGTCCCTTAATATTGGTTACCTTGAAATGATGGAACCATTGGTTCCCTCAATATGTCGGTTGTTCCTTAATATTGGTTACCTCAAAATAAAGAATCTAATATTTTCCTTTATATATGTCGGTTGTCCCTTAATATTGGTTGCCTTCAAATAAAGGATGCAATGGTTCCCTTTATATGTTGGTTGTCCCTTAATATTGGGTACCTCGAAATAAAGGAACGATTTGTTCCCTCAATATTTTGGTTGTCCTTTAAAAATAGTTGCTTCGAGACAAAGGAACCATTGGTTCCCTTTATATGTCTGTTGTCCCGTAATATTGGTTACCTTGAAATGAATGAACCATTGGTTCCCTTGATATGTTCGTTGTCCCGTAATATTGGTTACCTTGAAATGAAGGAACCATTGATTCCCTTGATATATCGGTTGTCCCTTAATATTAGTTGCCTCAAATTAAAGATCCAATGGTTCCTTTAAAATGTACATTGTCCCTTAATATTGGCCACCTTGAAATGAAGGAACTATTGATTTCCTCGATATGTCGGTTTTCCCTTAATATTGGTTGCCTCAAAATAAAGGATCCAATGGTTATCTTGATATGTCTGTTGTCCCTTAATAATTGGTTACCTTGAAATGANCCATTGGTTCCCTCAATATGTTCGTTAACCCTTAATAATTGGTTGGTTACCTTGAAATGATGGAACCATTGGTTCCCTTGATATGTCAGTTGTCCTTTAATATTGGTTACATCAAAATAAATGATCCAATGGTTCCCTTGATATTGGTTACCTTGAAATGAAGGAACCATTGGTATCCTCAATATGTTCGTCCCTTAACATTGGTTGCCTCAAAATAAAGGATCCAATGGTTCCCTTGATAGGTCTGTTGTCCTTCAATAGGTTACCTTGAAATGATGGAACGATGGAACCATTGGTTCCCTCGATCTGGTGGTTGTCCTTTAATATTGGTTGCCTTAAAATAAAGGATCCAATGGTTCACTTGATACGTCCTTTGTTGCTTAATATTGGTCACATTAAAATGAAGGATCCATTGGTTCCCTCGATATGTCGGTTGTCCCTTAATATTGGTTGCCTCGAAATAAAGGATCCAATGGTTCCCTTGATATTGTCGTTGTCCCTTATTATTGGTTACCTTGAATTGAAAGAATCATTGGTTCCGTCGATATGTCGGTTGTCCCTTAATATGGTTGCCTCAAAATAAAGGATCTAATGGTTCCCTTGATATGTCCGTTGTCCCTTAATAATTGGTTACCTTGAAATGAAGGAACCATTGGTTCCCTTGATATGTCGTTTGTCCCTTAATATTGGTTGCCTCAAAATGAAAAAACCATTGGTTCTCTTAATATATCGATTGTCTCTTAATATTGGTTGTCATGAAATGAAGGAACATTTTGTTCTCTCAATATTTCGGTTGTCCTTTAATATTGGTTGTCTGGAAAGAAAGGAATCAATGTTGCCTTTATTTGTTGGTTGTCCCTTAATATTCATTGCTTTAAACAAAGGAACCACTGGTTCTCTTAATATGTGAATTGTACCTAAATATTCATTGCCTTGAAAAACAGTAATCAATAGTTGTCTCCTAGGTTGGTTCTTCCTTAATATTGGTTGCCCTAAAACAAAGGACCAATGGTTACCTTAATATGTTGGTTGTCTTAAATATTGATTGTCTTGATATGTTTGTTTGCCTCGAAATGGTGGTTGTTTCAAAATAATTGTTGCTTTACTATGTCGACTGTCGGTTTCTTTTATACAAGCAATTGTAGTCTTTGTATGTTGGTTGTTCCATAGAACAAATGGTTGATTTGATATGTTGGTTGTCCCTAAATATCAGTTGCTTCAAAATATAAAAGGATAAGTAGTTGTCTAGTTGTCTTGCTAGGTCCGGTTGCCTCTGTATATCAATTGCCTCAAATGCCTCAAAGGAATGATGGCCGTACCAAAATAATACTATAATAGTTGCCTCAATATAACGGTTCTCTTGAAATATTGGTTACTTTGATACGACGATTGTCTTAAAATATTGGTAGCTTCAAAACAACGATTGCGTATATATTCATTGTGGTAGTTCCCATATGAGGATTGTCTCAAAATGATGGTTGTCTCGAAATAATTGTTGTCCAAAATATGATGGTTTTTTCTTTTTTTCTTTTGGAAATATTGGTCGCCTCACTAAATAAGTTGTGTCGAAATATATAGGACATTGAATCGTCTTGCTCTTGTGAACACTGATCATAAGTGGCAAAAGCCGCCAGTGATAGAAATATGTCTCTCCCTAACTATTCGATACCTCATAATAACTTTAGAACATTTTTTTTGCCTCATAATTATAGCTGCCTCAAAATATTAGTTTCTTTGAATTGAGAGTTGTCTCTAAATAGTGACAGCCATGAAATATCAGTCGGCATAAAGTTAGCCGTTTTCATGAAATTATGGTTGTCCTGAAATATTGATTGCCTTCGAATAATAGTTATCCTAAAATATGTATTGCCTCAATAACTCTCGACCTTTTGAGTAATGACTTCCTCAAAAGTATCTTATGCCTCGAAATATTTGTTGCCACAATATGATAGCTATCCAAAAATATTAATTACCTTGAAATATTTGTTTCTTGATAGAATCGTTCCAAAATATTGGTTGTCTCCAAGTTGGCCTGATAGGGAGCGTCCTCCAGTTGACAAGGTCGTTTAGTGTGTAACTAGTGAATGGAGAGTAGAAACATTTACATCATCCTAGAGCTAGTATAATAACTCTATCAAAGAAGACCTCAATAGGCAGAGAAGAAGCTTAGAAGAAGCTTAGAAGATCCTATTATTCCTTTCCAACCCTAAGCTTCACAGGAAAGCCTTGGTAATTTGGACCCAAAGGATAGCTCTTTCTTTTTTAAATGGATGGCCACTCAGCAGTATGTCTAGGAAGCTGTATGGGATGTTGTGTTGGGCTGTTTGCCATCCAAAAGCCTGGAGATTCTTCTCCGAAAATGCATATGTAAAGGAGCATGCGATGGAAAGGCGTCCCGGTGATTCTGATGTCTTAAAACAAAAAAGTAAGCAATTGTAGGATAAAGCCATATGGGGTAATTGCTTTTGAACCCGATCACGAATGTTGATTTCACCGTGGCTGAGTTCCCAACAATGACCTTTACTTTCTTGGGGTACTTCCCTTTCCATTTGCTGTAAAAGAGAGAGGTTGCTAGCTCTCTGATGCTGTTAAGAAGTTGTAGACTTATACTTATTTGGTGGAGAATATTCTTGGAGGGGTCTAGCATCCAAACCCATTTGTTGTCGGCGGTTGTGAGCACACTGTTGTTTAGTACATGTGATAGCCGCATCCAATCTTCAAATCTCCTCATCCTTAGGTGAAAGTCTTGTAATCCCAAGACTTTGTGTTTTTGGACCAATGTTCCGAGACTGTATACTCTTTGTTGATGGTCTAAAATATTTGTTGCATTCAAATAGTGGTTGCCTCAATTATTCGGTTGTTTTGAACTGTCTTGGATATATAGGTTGTCCTAAAATATCCGTTGTTTTAAAATAACGATTGCCTGCCTATGTTATTTGATTATCCTGGAATAAGAAGTTTGTCGATATATTGGCTACCATGAAGTAATGGTTGCTTTGAAATATTTTTTGCCTTGATATGTCGGGTTGCCCTAAAAATTGAAATGAAAGCTATCTTGAAATATTTGTTGCATGGATATCTTTGTTGTCCTAAAATATTGATGGCCTTGATATGATAATTGTCTAGGGAAATGGTTGTGTAAAAAATTAGTTGTTTTAATTTTTACTATGTCGAAAATTAGTTACCTTGATATCATGGCTCGCAATATAAAATTCATTGAAATATTTATTCTCCAATTCATTAGTTGCCTCAAAATATTAATTAACTCAATGTAACGGAATCCTCAAACGCAGACAATAATATATTCTTTCACTATTCTTTCGTGAGAAAGATTCGAGGTTTCCTCTGTAAAAAATTTATTTGCTTAGTGTCCCCATTTTTGAAGGATTGTTTGAGATCCTTTCTAGGTTATGGTTTGATGAGAAAGCTAGAGTTATTAGGTCTCGTGCTACTAGTTTGCTCTTATGACTCCTTTGAAAAGAAAGAAACGAGAGAATCTTCCAGAATAAAGTCCATTTGTTTACCGTTTACATGATACATTTGCTTTTACTGTTTCATTTCAATGTTCAAGCAGATGAATGTTGTTTAAGAAGTGTATAATAAACGAGTTCCAAAATGTTGTTTTTGGATTTCTAACAAAAGGAAGTCCTTTGGTTAGTGAGAGTTCCTTCTCTCTACCATTTTCTTCACTTTCACTTCATATCTCAAATTGAATGGAAAAATTTATGGTACTAGGAGTATCAGAGTACCATACCTCCTTCCATTAACTTTTTTTTTGTTGTATCAGTACTATATCAGCACTATATTAAAAGTAGTGCGAGGTTCATTCTTTCTATTTATTCTGCAAATAAAATGAAATATGGTACTCCCGTAGTACTAGATTTTTTCTTCAAGTGTCTCGACAATTTTCTTCTCCGACCCCTTTGATTGAAATAGATGYCGTGGATGTGTTGTTGCCGCCTACCATTATTGCTTTTGCTCAAAGAAAGAAATTAAAATACTTTCTAGCATTTAATGACCCAAATAGGACTTTTCTTCAATTCTATTTATGCAAAATGTGGAGTCAATGTATGGAGCGACACTGAAATGTCTATATTAATAAATCCAACGAGGGTAGTTATATTTGTCTTTTCAAAATTTATGCTACTACATTGTTCCGTTGCATGCATGTAACAATTCATCGATTCCTTTTTTTTACTTTTCGATCTGTAAGTTCGATTCTTTGTTGAGTTGATTGTAGTTTTGAAGAATAAGGATTTTCATCAGTTTCTTCATTAAAAATATTTACGTTGCTACGAAACAATGAACCGTGTGAAAAGGGTGAGAGCTGGAATAAAAATTAGAATTTTTTGGAATGGCATCAGGCTTTCACTGCTCTTGTTTTTCGTATTAGGATGTCTGGCCTTTATATTTTCCAATTGAATTTGCAGGGCGTACTCGTGTTTTGATTTAAATACTATTTTAGTTTGTGTTTTTTACTTTGATTCATTTTGGTTCTATACTTTTAACTTTGGTTCATTTTAATCTATATATTCAGTTCTTTTTGATCTCGTATACTCTTAAAAAAGGGAACATTTTGATCTCTATTCGCAAAATTTTATACACAATTAAAATCTTTTAATACAAATTTACGGCTACATTTAAAAAAATTAGTGAGTGAAGTTTTATCTAGAAATTGTAGCGTGAAAAAATGAGATGAAAATGAAATTGGAGATATCAAAATGGTCATTTTTTAAAATACAAAGACCAATACTTACATTTATAAAGTGAAGAGATTTAGACGAAACAAAAGTTTTTTTTTTGTTTTTTTGAAAAATTAAAATAAACTAAATTGAAAGTAAAAATATTAAAATAGACACCTTAGATTTAAAATTAATCTATATATATATTTTTAGAGCGACCTTGGGGGGTTGAATTTGAACATTTTTTACAGAGATTTGTTTTGCTATGTTAAAAGAAATTTCATTTTCATGTAACTTGATTTTGAGAGTTATGTTAGGTTTGGGTTGAATTTTATGATTTATTTGATATTTTGATGATATAGGTTAAAAGTTCAGAATTAAAATTCAGACAATAAAAATAAAATTTCCCAAATTTACCAACTTCTGATTCCGCTACCGGATTTCAGAAGGCCGCTCTCACTCTCATGGCTTCCAAACCAAAAGCCCCAGCTCCTCTATAATAGTATTTTTCTCTCTCTCTCTCTCTGAATTAGGGTTTTGAGCAATTAAAAGCAGAAGCAATCTTTAATTTTCGATTCTTCCAAACTGCGCAGTTGCAGGGCCAGCGTTGCAGAGCTCACCGAAAAGGGCGAGGACATTATCCACTCAATCCTCCATGAACGACGCCTTCTCCTTAATAACCTCGTAAGTTCATACTTTTCACCATGGCTCTCGTATCCCGGAGGAGTCTACTAGAAATTGTTGCTGGAAAATCAAATTTGGGATTGGATAGTGTTGTTATGCGTCGCTTTAGTTTGTTCCTTTGGTCGGATAACAAGCTTATTGCCTTGAAATGCTGCCATAAAAATGCAATGCAATTGATTAAGCCGAGATTTCTAACTTTGTGCTAGTTACTATGAAGCCATTAGTTTGATTATTCAGCATCAAGAGCTCTTCTGGATAGTTAGTTATATGATTGGAGTAGAACAGTTCGCTGCAGTGTATGAGTTTGCATCAATTTATTTGAACTTCTTTTCAACTTTTTGGTTCATCTATTCGACTGACTTAATATACAGAACGACGAAAGAGTGGTGAAAGCAAGCCGTGATATCACAATGAAAAGCAAAAAGGTCATTTTTCAAGTACATAGGTAGGACTTTGCCACTCTGTTATTATCCACTTGTTCTTAATATTGAACTTAATTTTTTTTTAATATATATATATATATATATATTTTTTTTTTGTTTCTTGTGTTTTCAACATTTGTCAGTCGTGAACTGTTGACCACATCAACCTGTATAATTTTTCACTTTTATCCATTTTGGATTTTCATGGTCTAGTTGTTGTTATTAACTCATGATAAAAATAATTACAAGTACATAGAATGTGGCTTGGTAGTATGATTATTAAAACAGAATCAGTAAACAGAACAAAGAGGAGGTTCTGTCATTTCAGGTCAGACACTTCATGCTCATTAACTAATTATTATTGTTATTTTATCCTCTAGAGGTTCTTGGCTATCGACCAGACAATAAATTCTTGCTCATACAGTTTTGTGGGTATTCAATGATAACTGTGAACAAAAAAAAAAAAATCATTATCAAGCGGGGTCTAAATTTTAGATATCTATGCTCTATGAGTAGACGCTCTGTTTTTGGACTTTCATCCTGTCTGAACTACATGACTGCAACATATGATGTAGATTTGAACCGTCCAGGTATGCACATGAAGTTGATTAAGTTCCTTCTCAAAATCAAGGCACCTTTAATAGTTTATGTATCATGTAATCCTGCAACCCGTGCTTGCCATCTTGATTATCTCTGCCACGGCGTGGTATGTCCAAGCTTATTCCTACCAGCACAAAACTTCCCTTTATATCAGTCAATTGAGCTGTTGAAATATTCCGTGGTGCAGGTGGAGCAAGGCATTAAATGTTGTTACAAACTGAAGAGCTTACAGCCAGTAGATATGTTCCCCCACACTCATATTGAATGTGTTTGCCTACTGGAACTCATTCCTGATTCCCAGATGGGACCATGATTTTTTTTACTGAAATTCAAGCCTTCTTTATTCATGGATTCCAACCGGGAAAGAGAAGGATTTCTATTTATGCTGTTTTTTCTGAATCAAATCTCATAGCAGAGCAAGATGAGGTGGTTTTGTGAGTTTTGTAGTTGCTACAGAATGTATACCAAATGCGTCATTAGTTAAATCAATATTAAAAAAAAAAAGGTTTTGTTCAAAATTTATTGTTTTTTTACCTATATTACTATTTATATCTATTATGCGTGACAAATATTTGAAATCAATCTAACAAGTCTTGAAGTTGTATTTAATTCACACAACTAATGTCTAATACACGTCTGTGCAAACTAATATTCCATACACATGTTGAATCGGAACTTTTAATGTAATATGTGCTGCCAATCTTTCAGTTTTAGAACCTACAAGGCCACCTTTCATAACACATACTATTGGAAAGCGCCCAACAAAGAAAAAGAGTTGCTTTTATATCTTTCAGAAGTATATTCACATTTCCGTTAACCAGAAAAACGTGATTACAGAGACAAAATTTTCTTACATTTTCAAGAAGACTATTGATGAATGTCACCTCCTTGATCAACTCTGAGGAGCTGAAGTCCTTTGTTGTCAAGGCAAAAGGGAGGGAGTAAAAGTTGATTTCTACAAATATAATTTGAAAACTACATCATAATTGGTTTCTTTCTTCTTGTATTAACTGAAATATCCGAGCAGCTGATTCAGTTGCTGATTTAGGATGGTGAGGTACAACCTTAATTGCCCTCGACTTGTGTTCACTGGTTTCTGGATTTAGACTCGACTCCTCAACTGCTGGTGGTTCGGTAGGAAAAAGAGGAAGCACGTCTCCATTGCCTCTCTCAGAGGGGCTACTAGCTGTACTTCCCTGCAACTCGCTTCCTTTCGATCCATGAAAGTTTCGAACGCGAAATGGCATTGAATGGCTCGTTTGGCTCGGCATTTCACACGAGTTTTCTTGATGCATCAAGTAGTTAATATCCCCAGTTGATATCTGGTTTTCTTGTTCTTTTGACTTGACTTTGGCAAAAAGGCTCATTTGATCTGGATTTGACCCAGACATGGATTGATTGGCTACTGGTACACCATAAGGTGGAAAGTACGGTGGAATCGTGCCGGGAAAATATCCAAAACCTTGGGGGTGAGAAGCAGGAACGGCATAAGCTGGAGTGTAGAAGTCGCCAGCTCTGCTGCCTGTATTTAGGCTCATTGTTCCATAGTTTCCAAACATCGGTGTCATGAACCCTGCAGTTGGAGGACATGGCCCTGTATATGGTTTGTAAATAAGCCCTTCAGAAGGGGACATCACAGGAACCAACCATTGGTTTCCTGGCGTAGGGTGGTTCAAGCACCAGGGATCTGATTTCGGAGCAGCAGCTGTGGGAGTTTGTGGTGCGTCTTTTACATGAAGCTCGTAGTTTGTTTGTTGAGTAATCGTGAGTTTACTGTTGTCCTTGTTGAAAGAAGGTAAAGGAAGCTTGGCATGAGGATTCTTATCTGCACATTTCACTGTGGTGCTCGGAAGCGGACGTTGAGCACACTCAGATGGCTTGTTCTTAACATCACTTGGCTTGTTCTTAACAGCAGATACAGTTGATGGCGGTTTATCAAAATAGTCTTCAAGTAAGATGTCTGGTGATCCAGCAATGAGTTTTTGTACCTGTGTGAAATTCAAGCAATAAACCATTATCACGGAAGGAGAACAGGATACAACGACGAATGTTAAAGTACCAGCTGGAGCCAAATGATGGCGTACCTTTATCAGTCTATGCAACTCAAACACCTGTACTGCAAAAATCCTTTGCTGACTGAAAACAGTTGGAAAAAGATGGGTATTAGGGATCAACAGATAATATCCATCCAGATTTCGAAGTCGACGAATACAGTATTGCAATGGAGATTTAACCCAAAATATAGCTCTCAAGTGAGAAGAATATGTCAAATATACAAGGAATTCTAATCACAAAGGAGATTTAGGTGATCTGACCAGTTAAAGGATCATTTGATGGTGATCATTCAAATTTCAAAGAGTGTTGCTTTAAAAATTAACTCTAAAGAAGAACACCAGAGAATTAACAGCATGAATCAGATCATATACGCTGGTCCTAATGGCATATGCATCRATCAGAAAGTGTCACAACTGGTGAAGAAACTCAATTTTGGAACCTCTTGAAGATAATAGATTGCAAACTGAAAGAGTATGAATAAATGTTTAAGAATGCCATAAACCATCACTTCAAAGGATCCAAAGATGGTTTAATATGGTATCAGAATATGGTATCAGAGTATAAGGTTCTATCTTCGAAATCTTCCAATGCCATGTCCTCTCTAATTAATATTGATGGTTGTTTGTCGGGACTTGTACTAATTCCGAGCTCACGGGTGAAGTGGGATGTTAAGTATATGAAAAAAAAATAAATACACCGGAACCTATTTGAGTTTTTGAGTTTAGTAGTTTACTGGGTGGCCTTTTCTACTATCAAGTTTCACAGAGTATTTCTTAGCACTAAGCAGTATCTGCAATGTGTCAATAAGGTTTATGAAAAACGAATACTCACTGAACAATAGCTTTTCTAGCTTTCCAGAATTGTTTTTCGCCTATCATTCCCGCGATGACATCCGGGGAGATATTTGACGCTGGAGTTGAATCTACCAATGAAGCATCTGAAACATTGGCATGTTGTTCTACTTCTCTCAAATGCACAGTAGTAAACTTCTCAAACTCATTAGGCCTGTTGCGGTTATCGAGGTTATCTAAATTTCTATCACCATCTCTGGGTGACAATGCCGAACATGATTCTCTTATCACCATGGATGAATTTTCCAGACCGGTAACTCGGGTGCAACCCACCTTGTCTTTGAGAGCTTCAGAGCTGCTCTGCGCAGCCAGCCCTTCTCGATATGTTCTCATGTTTGCACCAAACAGTCTGTTCGAATTGCTAACGGATGTCCAGTTTTCTTTAGCCAAAGATCGAAGGGGCAGCTTTGCCTTTTCAGAGTCCTTATCTGTAGCTAAAGAGATAAATATAGGCCTCTCCACAGGATCCCGAGTAGCCTTGGACAAATTTGGATTCTCCTCAGCTTCATTCCCCACAGATTTTCGAGATGTAAGATCCGTGACCGCTATATTGGCTCGTGAAAGAATTCCAAGTTGTGCTGAAGAGCTCATACCACTGCTTAACATCCTTTCCCTATCATGATTGTGCACATCATTTTTAGGTTGGTAAGTGGCAGGAACACTGAAGTCGTCATCCTTTTCTCTAACATCCTTCAAAGAAAAGTTCTTGAGATTCGAGATTTCATTCTTCCCGACTGAATTTTGTTGAGAACTCGATGAAATTGGTCCAGTTGCTGCCAGACTCGCCTTTAGCAACTTCGCCTCGTTATTTTGCACAATGCCTCTAGAAGCATGAGAATGAAGCTTCTCGGTTTGATGAGACTGTACAGAGCACTTGGAGGACGATGAGAAGCCCCTTTTTTGGCCAGCAAGCTGCAGAACAAGTCAGTTAATTCGATCAGTAACGTAAAACAAATAGAGAACTTGTGAATATAAAAGGCAAAACACATTTTCACTCTTCAGACACTAAAGCTAGTAGTTAGTACAGAGCAGTTAAGCTTCAAAACCAAACATTTCATCAAACATGTTATATGAATATATGGTTTCAGTTTCGTTACCTAAAAGAACAACCAAATGCAGTTTTTTCTAAAAAGGTAACATCAAGGTCATTACTAAAAGACCGAAAGCCCAAGCAATAAACATGCGAGTCATCAATAATTGCAGTTATCTATGGAGCTTACATGGTCAGAGGATGTTGAGGGAGCTGGCGTGCTGCTCGGAAGCGGAGCAGCAGAAGCTGATCCAGAGGAAAACCTTTGAGTAGGAATGGTGAGCTGCTCGTAGAGAGCCATTTTGTTCCTCGGAGGGGCTCTTGGGCCTCCTTTCTCTGTGTCATTGACATGAAGCCTAGGGAACATAGGACTTAACAATTTTTCTTCATCCTTTCCCCCTCTCATTCTCTCACCAAACTTTCAGATGAAAGAGAAACTAAGCAATTTCAAAATTCTGTTTGTTAAAACAAAGAGTCGTCATTTCAAAACCAGAAAGCCCCATCAAATTCAATTTCCTTCACCAGTTTGCAGGATATTAAATGCTTTTAGAAGTAACAAGACCACAACCTTCTCTAGGGAAAAAAATGTTAAAGATTCCACATGATTTCAGAAAGACCTTCCTCCATTTTTTTGATTACTTATCTAAAACCAACCATCAAACCACAAAATTCTGCAAACCCAGAAAGAAAAAACATTAGTTTTGGTGAGGAATTCACAATTGGCAGAGACCCATCATCAGCCCACCTCAAATGAACAAATCTTCTGGCTGAAAATCATGAAAAAACAGGAAGAACACATGAAAAAGAAAAAAAGATAGGAGAGAGAAGCAGAGAAATATATAAGAGAGACCAAATATCTAGTGGCACCTGAAATCAAAACAGTAGAGAAAACTAAAGATTCGGGGTGACAACAAAAATGCAGACAACAACCACAAAATCAAGCACTGAAAGGGGAAAAGTACAGAATTTAGCAACTAAGCAATCAAAGTAGCAGAAGAAGAAAAAAGAAAAAATCGGAAAGAAGAGACGAAGGTAATTGAGAAGCAACAGCAAGAAACATACATGGAAAACACAAGGTTGTAAAAAAAAGTCAGCAGTTAAACAGAAGGAAGAAGAAAAAAGGGAAGAAAGGGAAAGAAAAAAGGCCTATTCATATTGGATAAAGAATATATATTGGGAAAGAAGGATTCTGTGAAAGAAAGGAATAGGGTTACCTTGGATTTGCACTACAGAGGATCCCATCAACCCACAAGAAGGGGAAAAAAAAAAGAAAGTAAGAGAGAGAGGAATAAAAACAAAAAAACTGAAGTAAGTGTGGTGGGAACCAGGTGGGGTTGAATGAGAACTACTTTTAGGCAAAAGAAAGGGCCATGGGGGGCCTAATCCCAGAAGTTGAAGGCCTCTCCTCTCCAGTTCTTCCATATCTCCATAGCCATGGCTGTGCCCCACAAAGTGCCAAGTTGTCAAGATTCAAGTGGATTACAGACCCAAAATTGAAGAAAATTTTGATTGTGGTTTGTGGGGTAGTCACTGAATCTGGCACATGGTGGGGGGGAGTGTTTGGCTACGGTGTTCCCCTTCCAACCTCATGTTTTTGGTTCATACAAAAATTAAAAATTTGGCCAATCTTTTAACGAAAAATCCGTTAAAGATCGACTTCAAAGCATGGAGTCAAATTTTTCTCTTTCTTTTTTCCCGTTTGGATTGTGTTATTGGTTCAACAACAAGGAAATAGAGGAGAAAATGGGGCGATGGATTTTGTACGGTCTGAAATGTTACTTTGACCAAAAAGATCTCTCCTTTAACAACAAAAAAATTATAAAAATCTCTCCTTTCTCTTTGATTTCTGTGTTAATCAATTTTATAATCACACGTGATCCGAATTTGTTATGTGGGCAAAGCAAAGCCATTAAAAAAAGCTCTTTTTCTTTGTTATTATTATTTTTTTAAAGTTGGTTTCTTTTTTCCGTAACTCAATCCGTCCGACACGTGCTAGATGTCGGGTGACGCTCCATCAGCCGTTACGACAAGTCGTTCCCGAGTGAAAATGGGCCGGCTCTCCGTTTCAACCGGCCATCTCTTGGAGCCCAACGCGCGGATTGGGCTCTACCACTTCAAGACTTGCGCTGTCGAGAGAAACCTATATGGGCTTGGGCCTATATTTATGTCCGATATGGAAGGCCCAAAATGGTAAATATCAATGAAGAGGGTACATTCATGATGCATTCACAGTGGATGGTTGAAATGTTTGATAATGACATACCACTTGTAACAAAAGATTATTAATTCATAAAAACAATTTAGGTTAATTAATCAATTGGGTCCTAAGTTAAACCTTACAATTTGTCCTAAAATTATTTTCCATCCACCTCAAGACTAATTTATTTACCTAATTATTATAGCTCTAATATATTTAACCGATATAAATAGAAAACGTATTTAGTAAGATAATAATTTATAATAATGTAAATGATTTATGAAATTTGTTGAAATTGTATAGAGACAAAGTTGAAACTCTAGACTAAATTAAATATAATCCATAATGAATCACATGCTTCCATAACCATTCTAAATTTGAGAATAATTATGTTAAGGTATAACATGGATTCATCAAACTTCATTTACATTATACACACATGATGTTTATTTTTGTACAAACGGGATCTAGTCATATCAAATCTCTATTACAACTTTTTGAAAATTTTTAATCGTTACAAATTTTAAACGGTCATTACTAAAGTTCAATTACCCAGTTGATAATGTTAGGTGATAAAAATTACGCGACASGTGGACTAATAAGAGTTAGCTCGACCATGACGCTCACCTCGATCATAAACTAACCTTGGTCGTAAGAGCTAGCTCGGTCATAAAGTTCACGTTGGCCATAGAGAACTTCCTTGCTTCATAGCTTGGCTAAAAGGATATAGCTCGGACAATAAGGATGAACTATATCACCAAAACCATTCAACCGTCTTTCTAATAACACACCGTGATTTACGGGACGATTGTAACCTCTCCTCAATTGTTGTTGGAAGTTCAACACTTATAAATAGAGCTTCTCACTTTTCAAGTACACAAAACTCTCTCTAGAATAATAAATCAGATTGAGAATTATTTGAACATCGAAGCTCCTTACTTTCTCAATGCAGGTTCCTTCATAAGTTAGTCATTTAAGTCCATGCTTCGTGAAGGTCATTTTTAGGATGAAACAGCTAAAATTCATAACTTAACTAAATTTGTTCATTAAATAAAAATAATCTAAATATATCCTTTAATATATATTATAACGTGTGTAGGCAATAGGACCGGCGTCGTTTTGATAAGGAGTACATTTTTCCACGGAAGAGGACAAAAAGGAAAATGACAAAAGAAAATAGTTGGGAAGAGAAGATAATGTTAATTTAAAGGACAAATTGGAATTTTGAAAGGGGGGAGGGGGCCCACCAGGGCAGAGGCTTCGCTGTTACGATTTTCCACGTGAGACAAAGTTATCAGGTCACAGTCCAATGAGAGAAGGACACGTGTGAAAGATTGTTGCGTTCACGTGTGAGCCGTAATAATGGAATTGACAAGGATATGTGGGGACCAATTGCGAAAGAATGAAGAAAGAGAGAGAGGCAAAGTGCAATGTAACTGATTTAAGGGCCCTGATTTCTCCTTTTTTCCATCATAATTGAGGCATCGACGGTCAGATTTGTATTGATGGATCAGGAGATAAAATGGACCCGAAATTCATATCAAAAGAAACAACCGCATTTGACTTGGGCCCGTTACATTTATATTTTAAACAAAAAAGAAAGAGAAAACTTAAATTACATGTTTCCTCCTTGTAATTCAAAAAATTTTAAATACAAATTTCCAAATTTGAAAATAAGAGATTCAATAAAAAAAAATTAAAAAATAGAGTTGTATTTTATATTTTATTTTTATATATGTTTGGTAGCAAATTTAGAAATGGAATCTTTCAAAATTTCATACCAAACCAGCTCTAAATTTTTTAATTGGATTTATCTTTAGTCTTTAATGTTAGATTTGGTTGATAAAATTCAAATGTGCCACTTATTTTTTAAAATTTGAGTGAGGTTACATGATTTATCAATCATTAGGATATATTTTGGGTGATTACCAAGCAAATAGTTGTTTACAGTCCATCTCCAAAATCTAACATGTCATAGTTACCTACTCGTTCATTTCTAATTCGATTAGAATGTTAGATCGAGCCACATCATTGAAGTTTTAAGAAATGAAGTGTCTTGTTATGTGTTGTGAATCTTGACAAAGATTAAAAATAATCATAACTTGTGAACATGTGTTTAGCTTAACTGTAATTGACAATCTGTTTATGACCAAGAGATCATGAGTCCTCATCCCACTTATTACACTAAAAAAAAAGATAATCATAGCTTAATCTAAAAAAAAAAAGATAATCAAAATCTAAAGTCTAATAGATGTAATTATACATGAAATGACTTTGGAGAATAATGCTAAAACAAACCACTTTTACTTCAAACATTAATCAATTATTTTCTCCCAAAAAAAAAGTTCCAAACTTTCCTCACAAATAGCACTTTTTAAAAGTTTTTTAACTATATAATCAAACACCCTTCAAATTTAAAATATTATACTTAATTATATAAAAATAATCTAAATCTTTGAAGCTTTGGAATGATTTTCTTTATGATGTGTTTGTAAATTTTCTATCCTAAAATGTTGCGTACTTTTTTATTAAGACAAATAAAATGCAACAATTTAGAAGCTTCTTTTGTCTTCTAAATTATACCATAGATTTTTAACTAATTTGCACTACTTCAGAGAATAAGAGGGAAAAAACAAAACAAAATAATAATAATAATAATAATAATAATAAAATTTTAGGGGTATTTGAGTAATTATCCAAATATGCCTTCACCTTGAATTTTATTAAACTCTCTCTTATTAGAAGTGGGAATGTGGAATGGAATACTTCTACTTGTGGGAATTAATTCCTCCTCAATCTTTCATTCTGTAAAAAATCTTAAACATAAAGAAAACCAAGTACTCGGACATATTTTACTATTTTATTTTTATTTTTTTTCTCTTTTAAGTTCATCTTGTGAGTCGGGATTGAATCATCGACTTTTTAGAGATGGCAATAGACGTCTTATCCACTTGTACTATGTTCGGGATTGACACATTTCATAGTCGTCTATTATAATGGATAACATAAAGACACGACATGTGAATATTCCTTTATTACTATCTTTTATTGGTCTTGAGGGACGGAGGGAGCTAACTTAGTCGAAATATAGTTATCGATTTAAGGATCCAAGGTATCTCTGCTTTTTCACGGTAATAAGAGAGTTTTATAGCTAGCTATACTATAATCACGTCTCTATGAACTAAACATAACAAGTATTATGTAGCATTAAATTATTTTATATCAATCATACATAAAACTTAATTGATGTCGTCTTCTCGGTCACATTAATGAAAGCGACAAAGAAATTTGTAAATTATAATAATAATAATAATAATAGAAGACCAGAACTTAATTCGAAGAAAATCCATTAAATGGATTGTTTTCATTTACATTGCTGGAATTAACATGCTCACATCAAAATACATCATAAAATATATAGAAAATTTAATACATCCTGCAGAGATCACGGGGAACTCTTTTTTCCCATTGATGGTAAGAGAAAATTTTTCATTTTCCCTGGAAACAAACAGAAAATTTGTTTTTATATAGTAAAATGGGTGAGTCATGATCCGAAGTTTGAGACAAGTTGCAGAGAAAAAATGTTAGAGATGAGACAGTACATGATGTCTTTACTTATACCAGATAATTTGTGTCCACTTTTTGTGAGGGAAAAACAAATAGAATACTCTGAATTCTTCACAGTTTCATATTCTTTCTCTCACCCATTATACAATATCTATCATTGAGTTTTAACTCGAGTTAGAAAATGCAAACGGGTCGGGTTAGAAGCGGAGTCAGAAATTTTCTTAAGAGCGGGCAAAATTTTATCTACTAACTTGCGTGAAATTAGAGAAAAATTACAAAATTTTAAGATTTAAAGACCGTTTTCATTATTGTATATTCTCAATTTTGRTTTATATCTTGGTYACTGRTACTTTCAAAGCAATCATTTTGATTTTTATACTTTATACTTTTGTTTATTTTTAGTKTGTACTTTCCAAATTTTTCTTTTTGGTTTTTGAATTTTTTAAAACGGACCATTTTGGCTCATTTATTTTCATTTTTGTCTCATTTGGTTCGATCGAAACTTCTTTATTTGCTAATTCTTTTGAAATGGAGTCCTAACTTTTTCTTTTTAATTAAATTAAAGGTTCTCATCCCGTGTAAAATTTTACAAATAGAGACTTCAGTAGATTTTTGAAAAGTAGAAGGACCAAAATAGAGGTTTTGAAAGTATCCATKAACTAAAATAAACAAAAATTGAAAGTATAAAGACCACAATAAAYATTTTTAAAAGTACCGATACCAAAACAGTATTTAAACCAAATCTTAAATATTTTATTTATTACCACAAACTAAGAGAATACATTGCTCTCTTCACCTTTGTTGGCCCACATGTCTAACTCAAATTTGATAGAATACTCTAGTCGATAGTCTTCATATGCTCTCGGATCAGCTATTATAAACATGATCTATAATCGAGTTTTAACTCAAATTAGAAAATACAAATGGGTTATGTCGTGGGGGTTAGATTTAGTGTAATGACTAAGATTAAAATTAAAAGTCGAACCGATCGATATAAATTCATAGACAATTAGACATAGGCTTACCAAAATTCAAGCTTTTCAACTCCAAACTTGTTAAAACTATGAACAGATCATGTTGATGTGTTCCTGATGAAATGATTTGCAAGTTGGGGTTGTGAAGAAAAACATGATAGTTGACGAATAACAAATTGGAGATGTTTCACCAAAACATAGCCTATTTAATGAGCTCACTGATTATGGGGAGCATGTGGGTTGCTCAGCTCACAAGTCAGAGACCTGCTTCTCTCTCTATTATGTATGCAGTTAATAATCTGAAAGGGAGAGAAGAAAGAAAGGGAGGAGAAAGAAGATAGGAAGGTAATTTATTTCGGGCCAGAATGTAGTTGCCCTCTAGTAATAACAGTCGAATTAATCTGTTTTTCTTCAAATAATCGTTGTTGATGTAGGAAATTGGTTTCGGTCTCTGTCGTTGATAGCTCTGACGAACAATTGCACGCAAAGAAGTCTACTCACCGGTGTAGTGCTAAGCCAACACACTTTGTTGCCTTAAATTGAGTAAAGTATTTCGTTGAAATGAGCAAAATGTCAGGTTATGATAACATACCTCGCACCCCAATTCTCTCCTATATGATTTATAGAGGCAGTCTCATCGAGTTACTTCTAGTGAACCTGCTCGACCGGATCCGATCGGTTCGAGTCTAGTTTTGTTGGGTAGTTCGATTTGGATGGTTTGACCCAGGTGGTTAGATCCATGTCACTTGCCTAACTTCAAAGCTTGATAGGACAATTTCACCCATAACAACCCATTTTTTTTGAGTAAAAATTACTGAATAAAGTCGCTGCGAATGTACTTATTCTCTAAAAGCCAATAAAAGCCATCAAGTTTGAAATTATCTCTCATACATCCAACAGTGTGAAAATCGTCAGCCACACTGTTCCGATTCCCTCAAATAATTCCTCGAGGTTGAGAGGGTACTTTTCTTTTTCTTTTTTTAATATAACCAACTTGTTTTTGATTTGTTTTGTTTTTTTTGGTGTGTTATCTTCTCCTCTGACTGCCTTTGCTCTGCCTGCCTGCCAACAACAACTCTCATGTTCTTAAAGCCCCCACCACTAATTATATGCTCTCAAATCCAAATCCAAGCTACCATACCTTGTAGCTTGGATATCAGATTTATTTCCTTAAAAATTAAAATCTCCATTACTAATCTAACCAAAATCATCACAATATAATTAAAAACATTCCCATTGTTCTGTTTTTGCTACACACACACAATATTTCTAAATTTGAACTCTCTCATCATTATAGTTAGGTGTTTTTGATACCCATTGAGGCCAAGCCCATAATGATGCTATTAGTAAAAAAAAAAAAAATCTACATCAAGAATCACTACATATATCCTTTTTTGGGTCAATTCTAGATTCATCTAATTTGTTTTTCTTTTAGAGAAAAGCCAGATAAGGTGTGGATAAATAGATAAGGATCCCTTCCCAGTTTTTTTTTTTTCTTTGAGCTTATGTGCAAGAGTTTTTAGTCTCAGATTTCAATAATTAAGGAATCATTAGTGTGAGTTTTGCAAAGGAAAAAAAGGTAAAGCTATGATTAAAGCTATGATTAATAGAAAAGTTTTCTTTTTATTGCTGAAAGATGCCTTTGGTTCTGTCAAATTTGCAGTTCTTACAGAAAGTTGAGCCTTTTTAGTGCGCATGGTATTGGTATTGGTATGAACTAGAATAAAATAAATAAATAAAAAGAATAAAAAGAAATTGGAAAATTTTCATTTTCCAACTGAAATCTCATTCTTCTCCATTTGCAGGAATTTTTTTTTTTTTAAAATAACAATAATAAAAATCCCCCCACCAAACTGACAAAAGAAAAGCTTATCTTTTTCAAACGCATTATAATTCTGTCAACTGTTTTTAGTAATATTTTATTGTGTTTCTTTGTGCACATTGTTTACATCTTCAAAGTACAATTACCAATATTTTGTTGGTTTTGGACAGTTTTCTTTTCATTCCCATCTATAAAAAAAAACCCAAACTTTTTCTTCTGTTCTTCAGAAAAACCACTGATTATTTTTCTCCACAGCCATCTCATTCTCAAGCTAGAACAAGAAAACAGCTGCTCTCTCTGTTAATTCTCTCTTCTTCTTCTTCTTCTTGTTTTACACGTTTTCTTTGCAAGAATGCTTGGACTTTCCTTTTTGGAGTTTCTTCTCTTTCCTTTTCCAATGGTTGACAAATATTAGTCTGCCAAATTAGGAAAGAGTTGGTTAGTGTCGTGCCACAATGTCCAAAACCAGCTGCTCTTAAATAGCTCAAGTAAAGTTTGCCTCTTTTTGTTACCAAATTTGGAAAAAAATAAGCTTGAAACACATCAATTTTTCGCCCTTCGCCATCGGTTCGGTAAGTTTCGTGAATTCTCTCCTCCTTTAAGATTCGTCGAAACGAGAAACAAAAGACGGTAACAGAATTAATAGGATTTCTGTGTTTCAGGGATTCGAACTGATAATGGATGATCTGAACTGGGATGGATACGGATCGCGAGTGGCGATGAACACGACATCATCGCCGTGGTTTTGGAGCAATTACCAACCAGGATTGGGAGAAAAGTTTGTGTCATCCAACTCAAATTCCAACTTCTGCAACTCAGTTCAAGAGCTCCCAATGATTAAAGAAGCTGAAGATCCTCTGTTTTCAAAAACAGGGGAGGCTCTACCAATGGTTATGAGCCACCCATTGACTAACTTCACAACAACTCGTGAAGTAGGTGTTATTGATCTTGAACCACATATCCCCACCGGAGTGTCTGCGGCGGCGCCGGCGACGTGCTCTCTAGATTCATTGGACTGCCTACTTTCAGCAACAACAAACAGCAACACAGACACATCAGTAGAAGACGATGGGATTTCAATGATTTTGACAGATTACACCAATTTATGGAACTTTGGAGGGAATGCTAATGCAGTATGTTCTTCAAGGGAATCTGGGAAGAATGGGTCAAATTCTTCAAAGAGAAGCCATGATCAAACTCAATTCAAAGCAGGGGATTACTCTGTTTTCTCCAATGACATCATAATCCAATCAGATTCCACATCAGACAGTGGTGGGTTCAAGATCATATCAGATCAGAATCTGGCAAAACAAAAGAAACCCAGATCAGAAAAGCCACCAACTTCATCAAACATAAATTTTCAGCAAACTTGTTCATCTGGGTCATCTTGTATTGAGCAGGAGCCTGATCCAGAGGCCATTGCCCAGATGAAGGAGATGATCTACAGAGCAGCAGCTTTCAGGCCAGTGAATTTGGGGGTGGAAGTAGTGGAGAAGCCAAAGAGGAAGAATGTGAGAATTTCAACTGACCCACAAACTGTGGCAGCAAGACAGAGGAGAGAGAGAATCAGTGAGAGAATTAGGGTTCTACAGAGGCTGGTTCCTGGTGGGAACAAAATGGATACAGCATCAATGCTTGATGAAGCTGCAAATTATCTCAAGTTTTTGAAGTCTCAGATCAAAGCACTGGAGAATCTTGGGCAAAAGCTTGAGTCTTTGAATTGCCCTCCAACTAGTATAGCTTTCTCTTTCAACCCATCTTTTCCCATACAAACAACTTCATCCCATGACAGTTTCTCCCTCCAAAACCCCAACCATATTAACCAATTCCCCCAAAACTAAACCCTCTTCATAAAACTCAGCTGATGATCTCAAGTGATGTAGCTCAAATTTATTGGTTAATGTTTCAAATCTTCAATATGTTTGTTCTCTCCCTCTCTCTCTCAACAGAGACCAATAAACTCACATTACCACCTTACTTCATTATAAATCACTTGGCGTTTTTTTAGCTATGCATTACACACTTCATGTGGATCTAGCTTTCAACAGCGTATAAGACGTTATGAGAGATGTTGAAGTGACAAATATGTTTCCGATTGTGGTTCACCTTCATATTTTCCATGGTCTATATCATGCGAGTCTTAGAGAGTTTGTTCGACTTAAAATGATCGAAACTAAAAAAAATCAAAATCCCATTTTCATGGAGTACAGTTAGGAAGCTAATCAAAGGTTTTTAACACATCCCTTATCCCGTGAGATGCAAAAGAGTTTTTCTTTCTGTTATTGAGCAAGAATTCCTATTGTCCACTACTAAATTTTTGATAGATATTAAAAATTTAGAGTCCCGTCATCTTAGTTAACAGGGAAGTATTTTCAGGAAGGGAGGGGAAGACGATGATTGATTGATGAGGCATTGGCCTTTTTGAGTGTATCAGGAGAAAAAGCTTAGTAATAATAGCATTATGATTAAGATTAAAAGGGAGTTAGAAAGTAAGTGTTCCTTTTGAAAACTTGGGTCTGTGTAATTGAAAATAATTAATAAGTCCTTTATTATTATTATTATTTTAGTGTAATTACCAATGCTTTTGAAACATTCTCTTTGGAAATGTGAACCAAAGTCAGTGGTCCGGTCTCCTTGATTCAATCCAAAGCGTGCTCTTGGGAATCACCCAAAAATTATATTGCTAAGCACATGCTTTGAGTTTATGCTTCTTTTTTGGCTTGATTTTGCTTTTAAAATCTCTCTCACTTGTCTTTTCTTTGGCACTATTAAGTAGATTTTGATTACCCATCTTCTGTTTTCTAAATACATTAATACAAGAAGAGAATCAGGTGGTTTTTCATTTTTAAAACACCATATTATAATTTATAGGTTTTATTTAAACCCCATCACCATTATTTTAATTCTACTAATTCACATTAATATATCTATATATATATCCTATGCTCATACTTGAATGCATGTGCAATGAGCAATATAATGCATGATTTGTTAAATATATATCACTCAGAATTATAGAGATTCTCCTGGAGAAAATTTTCACTAAATATATAACTTTGTTATATAAAGTTTATTCTTTGTTTATGTGAGTCGGAGGGAGTAGCTACTATATTAGTATTAGAAACTTGTTGGAATTCTCTCCCTCCATTGTGATAGTAAAAAAGATTTGCAACCATGTAAAAATGAAGTTTTTTTTTCTCTAGATAAACAACGGAGGTTGTTTTCACCTACCATATTTATCTCATAATTTACATGTCATTTCGGTTAAAATCTAGAAAGTATATTGACAGTTCATTTTTTATAGCATGTATGTCAAAATAGATGTGTATTAGACATTGGTCATACCACACGAATACAAGTTTGATACTTATTAAACCATGTACTCAATAATTATTTAAGAAAAAAGAACGAAATTCATCAGACTCATATTTTGAACATATAAATGCATAAATTTATTAGCTCAAAGAAATGACGTGTCACATTGTACTAGTGTTGTATTGGTGTGTGTCCATGACATCACATAATTAAGAAAGAGATATTTGAGGTTGAGGATTTGATTGGATGCAAATTGATGTTGATGATATTGAATTAGCCAAATTGGGACATTTTCAGTTGCAAAGGGGAGAGAGGGTGGCTGAATTTGAGGGGTTCGGCATTTAAAGACTTTGTTTGATTTGTGATAAATGGAGAGCGTGATGATGTGGGTCCCACGTAAATTGGCTATCAAAAATTTTCTTCGTCCCAAAGTAACAAACTTATAGAAGGAAAATTTTTATGTATTCATTCCGAATTCGTCAGGACCTTTAGGGACTGTTTCTCATATTGCGAATTTTTGTTCATTTTCTCAGTTAATAACTCATAATCAAATCTCGGTAACTAAATATTTTCAACTTAACAATTTCAAAACAATGTTATTGTTTGGATGAAAACGGGGGAATTTCTAATTTCAATCCATGCAGTAACATCGTTTTGAATACATTCAATTTGAATTGGCATTTTCTCCATCATAATTATCATCATAGTTATTGAGATGAAAGACCCACAAAAATTAACCTTGGACAGTTTCTTTGTGAAAATGTATGTATAGCCAAARAAAGACCACACCAAAAATCGAGTCAAATTCGAATTGTTCAAGTGGATGTAATAGTAACAAGGAGTATGGATACTTCTTTTATTTATTATCATTCACATCTATACTATTTTAAAACGATGCAGCGTCCACTAACATTGAATAGAAAAATTATGGTACTATAAATTTTTTTCGGCGTGAAAAAGAAAAATATATTATTATTATTATTATTTTGCCAATTGGACTCTTATTTTGTAGGCTTTCCGACAGTTGACTTTGTACAGCCAAGGGAGACATCACATAGGCTGTTGCTGAAGAAAAAGTCTTGCGTCATTTGTCAAAGGACACGTGTCTTGCTTTTACTGGCTGATCTTGCGGTGGCCAATAAGGGGTAGTTCGGTCATATCTTTTATCTTTGTTTTCTTCCTCCGGGAAAGCAGATTTGGAGGTCATTCTCTAACCGTAGCTGTATGGATGTATAACAAATTTCTTATTCATTTTCTCAACTTTCTTTCTCTTTTTTCTTCATTTTAAATCAATAAAGAATTATGATTCTAAACTTTCCAACATTTTTTTTTAATTTCAAGAGAGACATAATTGCATTGGGTGAATTTAAACTAACAACCAATTGTAAGTCAAAAAATATTTTGAGTAAACACAATTGTTGTGGCCGAAGAATAAAAGCGTTGAAATCAATTTCAACACCACCTCAGATACTAAATCATATGCAACATTTTTATTTGGACATGCACTCGTCATATAGGATTAAAATCGATAGAAGTTTAGAAGAAAACAAAGAGAAGAGTAAATTTTGTGTTCTATCAAAAAAATTAGAAATCTAGTTTTTGAAGAAGAAAGACAAAACGTTTTAAGAAGGAAATAATCAAAGCATTTGACGAAATTAATTATAACATTAATAAAATTGATTTCATTAATAAAAATATTTATTATATTCGTCCTCCACCAGGTTTTCGAGCTCAGGGGAAGGAAGGAAAAGTTTGAAGGTGAAAAAAGGCGATATATGGTCTCATATATATCTCTCTTCGGCTCCTCGGACTTCGTTCGAGATATGAAGTTTGGTTATGACGAGGATCGATGGGTTTCCAGAGAAGGAATGCTGATCATTCCGTGTTCATAAAAAGGAAACAAGAGGAAACTATTGTTCTCCTAGCGTACTCAGGTTAGAACTCGAAATTCACAAATCAAATTATGATATTAGTCAGAAATGTAGCTAGTAAGCAAGTCGTCTCGTCCACACAAAAATTAGCTACAAATAAATACAAAATATGTATTTCTTATTTTTGCGCATACGACAATAATAGCATGTGGGGAGATGTTTTGGACTCATCCTAAACATCTTTTACTAAAAGAATCTTGTCTTATAAATCCTCCCTCCCATATAAAGGACAAAGTTAAAGCAATTTTTCTTTGTCATTTCCAACCGTAATTATTTTAGTTTATCTTTTTATGAACTGTAGTTAATGTTTATAACCTTTCAATTTAATTATATTTTTAAGATCATTTTGATAAGTACTTCTTAAATGTAAGAATGGAATGTTTGCTAACATTTTGTTTTGCAAGTCAGGGGCAGAAAACTATAATTACGATGGACAATACTTTTTAGTTACGATTTAGTCTAATATATATCATAATTAATTGAGTCATGTTTAAGTTGAAAATAATGTCTTCTAGATATTTTTAATTAATAAGATTTTATTTGAGAACCATTTTACTTTTAATTGTCTATTTTTTAAAATTAAACTTACATCCCCTCTGTATATATTCCTTTGTGTTAAACGTTTTCAGAATCTAACCTAAATTTTTAAAAACAAAAAGTTTACAAAAACTCATCTTTAATTTGATTTAGAATTCAGATGTATTATGAAAGAATATGAAAAATATAATGAAGAAATGGTAAAAATAACCGGCATAATTTTTAGAAACAGAAAATTAAAAATGAAATTGTTACTCAAGACCTAAACTTTGTTAATTAAATCATAATAATAAAATTTTAAGTTAAATAACTCGGACAATATGAACCTAGCTTAATGAAATTGACGTTTACTTTTTTTTTTCTGAGTAAAATATTGTCATTATTATTTTTAAATACTACACGGTTTTCACTTTGCAAAAATTATTTAAAACAGCGAGAGGAAAAAATTTCATTCGAGCAATAAAGAACGTGGTGACCATTAATGCACCGTAGCTGAAGGTGCTTCGAAGGGACGATTCGCCTAAGGTAATCCGATTCTAAAATTCACCCTCTTAATAAAATCGTCTGAGATTTGAATTGTGGTCAACGTAGATATATTTTTTTAGTGCATTTACAGTAATCCACTGTAGATTTTTGTGGGGGAAAGCCGAGTAAATTTCACCAACTGAAAAAGAATGAGCGAATCGTTAAAACAGTAATTTGAGCCAAGATATGATGATTTACTGAATTCTCTGACTGGGTTTTTTTTTTTCAAACCTGCCAATTTGTTTAGATTATTTCTGCATTGTTCTTGCTACCTAGGGTATGATTTATGTCAGAATATTGTATCATAGGATGAAGTTTTCGAAGTTCAATGGCATTTGTTGATTTAGAATCTTGCCTATTGTATACATTGGTCATCTCCATTGCCAAACACTGTCTTAAATCTACTAGAGGGTGTGAATTTAGACGAGTTTGGTGCTAAACTCATGTTTGTCGAGTTTAGGGGTTATAAACTCAACCCGCCTGAGTTTTCTAAACCTGTACTTGAAACACACATTATCTATACTCTCCACTTAAACTCCACACCTAATGTTCTTAAGCCTAAGATGTCGAACCTGCACCCCTCAATAGATAAATCATAGTTGGCCTCATGGTTGGAGTTGAGGATATATAATCCATTGCCACTTATGTTGCCTTCCATCGAACCTAGAACAGATTAGAATGGAAGAATGTGGCTAGAGGATGAGTTGTTAGATTTAGCCAAGAACACTGTCTTTCATTTTAGGAGATTGGCCAAAGTGGTTGTGATATTTGCAAATTTGCGACAAAGAAAAACAATTTGTAAATATGACAACTTTTTATCTCATATATCACCTATACATCATTTCTCTATCATTGAGAAAGTATATCACTCATGTACCATTTTTTTTATCAATGGTAAATATATCACTAAAATAGACATTGATATTTGTATATTAGCCCATTTAACCAATGAGCCAAAAACCTCATGATGGTCACTTACCTTGGGAATTAGTAATTCCGATGTATTTTCCGACACCAAATATTGTAGGATCAGACGGTTGTCTCACGAGATTAGTCAAGATGCGCGTAAGCTGTCTCGAACACTCATGGATATCAAAAGAAAAAAAATATTGCTAATATACAGTTTCTTAAATTTGTGCCATTTTTTCAAAATATTTTATCATGCGATAAATTTGCCTTTTATTTTCTTTATTTAGAATAACAAAGATTGGTATTTAACTACATGAGGGATTAGGGAATAATCAACAAGAGTTGCTTCCACGAAAATTCTGCTACCTTTCTTGAAAATTCGTGATGAATGAAGCCAGATGGACACATTCAAGACTCGAACTGATTCGTCGGTTGTTTTCCTGGGAATTCTCCAACACAGCCGAACATTCCTTCAGTTCCATCACTACCTGGTTCATGGTTGGCCTTGTGGTTGAAGATGAAGACACACAGGTCATTGCCAAATCAATAAATTTCCAAATAGAACTGTTACCAATGTCCAATCCTAATTTTGGGTCCACTATTTTATTGATTTCCCCTTCTTTAAACACTGAACTAACCCATTCAATGACATGGGTCTTGTCCTGATTTCTTGTTAGTGCTGGCTGACCAGTGACAATTTCAAGTAAAATCACCCCAAAACTATAAACGTCACTCTTCTCACTTAACTTGTTTGTCACAGTGTACCTGCAGGGAATGGGAAATATACATCAGAAAAACCAAATATTCAACCTTTGAATTGTGGGAGTTCAATAAAATGAAGGGGATGCGTTAAAGTGTGAGAAGTATTTAGTTATCTTGTGCTTTGATCAAGTGTGATAAGATACTTTACTATCCATGCTGACATCCAATTGAGTGGGAGTGGTGAAAACCAAATCCAATCTAATTGGCTGCCTGCCTGTTGCCAATATTTGACAGTCACAAGTCACAAGAAATCTGTGAAAAAAATAGGTTTAAACTATAAGTTTAGTTTCTAAACTTTTAAATACGTGTCTATCAGATCAAAACGCGCGGGAAGATCCATGAACTTTAAAAGTATCCAATAAGTCTTTGAATTTTCAATTTTGTGTTTAATAGTCCTTAATCTATTCAACATTTTTTAAAATTCATGAATCTACTAGACACGTAGTCGAAAATTTAGAGAGGTATTGAACTAAACTTGTAATCTTTTACCAAAAAAGAAGCACTGAACCGACTAGAAAGACGACTAGCACAATGAAGATTGAAGTACTTACTCTGGGTCAAGGTATCCTGGGGTGCCAACAGCTGCAGATGCTTGAGCTCCGTCTCCTAATTGGAAGGTTTTTGACATCCCAAAATCAGCTAATTTGGCATGGAAGTTTCCATCTAGTAAGATGTTTGTAGACTTAACATCTCTGTGAATAATTGGTGGCTTACAGCCAAAATGAAGGTGCTCTAACCCTGTAGATTGTAGAAGATGATATTACAATTTAGTATCAGTAGCTAATTAGCAATAGAAGAATTGAGTAAATATCTAATTTTTCGAACCTTGTGCTGCATCCTGAGCGATTCTCAGTCTCTCTTTCCAGTTCAAGATATGGTTGCCTTTTTCTAGTTCAGTGAGATAAAAAGGAAAAGGAAAAAAAAACTAAATGAGCCTCTTCACTGAATCATCTAATGTAACGGAAATTAAGACACGGTCTTGTTTGATAACTATTTCGTTTTTAGTTTTCTATTTTTGAAAATTATACTTGTTTCCTAACAATTTCTTGGATATGTCTTTTTTTACCTTTCTTGAAAATACATTTTAATTTTTGGACAAATTTAAAAAACAAAAACAAGTTTTTAAAAACCACTTTTTTTATTTTTATGTTTCAAAATTTGGCTTAGAATTTACAAACATTTTTTCAGAAGTAGATTATAAGACAAATAAATAGATAGGTGGATGTAGTGTTTGTAAACTCAATTTTTGCAAATATAAAATAAAAAATAAAATAGTTATCGAACAAAATAATTTTTGTTTTTTTTCATTTTTGTATTTCATCATTACTTGTACCTGATAGATGATCAGCTAAGTTTCCATTTTCCATGTGTTCATAAACCAGTCCTAGGTGAGTGTCTTCATCACAATATCCAAGTATGGAAGTTAAGTTTCCATGGTGAACTCTAGTAAGCCATTGTGCCTGTAAAATGGTCAGCTCTCAAATTAGCATAACTTTATTCGATGTCTTACTAACTACTTCTAGCATAAAAAAACTACTGGTGAATTTTGAGGCCTCCAAAACTATATTGTTGCTATACCATTGTTCAGTTGTTTGATAAATTATAAGAAAATTGCTGACCTCTTATAGAGGACACGATCAGTATTGTTACTTACCTCTTCCTGAAATTGCTTGTAGCCTTGAACTGATGCAGGGGACAGCATTTTCACAGAAACTTGGATACTATACAAGCAACCATGATAAACTGTTCCAAATCCTCCCTTCCCTATAACCCTCTCAAAATTGTTTGTGATGCTTAAAATTTCCGAGTAGGTAAACCGTTTTTTCTCGGGCACTACTAACGTCCTGCCACTCTTTTCACTCCCAGAGATCTGATTCCCTGCATAAGCTACTAATTCCCATAGTTAATGAAGGCACAGTTTTATGAGGATAGAAGCATCTGGCCATGAAAATCAAGAACATTATGTTTGTCATACCTTTCTTCTTCTGTCTTCTTAGAATCTGAAAGATCACGCCTCCGATTAACAATACTAATATAACTCCACCAAGTGATGCTGTCAATGGAACTACATACTTCTCCTCCTTTCTAGGGCAGGATTCTGATAGGCAAAGAAATGGGTTGCCTCCAGCTCTTTGAAATGAATAACAGGAAGTGAGATGCTGCAGAATTGAAAGTTGTAGCTATCTTTGTAACAGAGTTTTTAACGATTTGGTACCTCAACGAAAAGTTTCTATTTCTCGATCCTTGGATCAGTTCTGGTGGAATTGTCCCCGAGAGATTATTGTTCTCCAGGTTTCTACAAACGCACATGAAATATGGTGACATTTTGAACTCATTACCAGAGAATCTAGATTCCAACTTGGCCTAAGTTCAAGAATGCAAGTAACTTACAGAACCCTCAAGGATGGCAGTTTAGCTAGAAAATCTGGAACTGTGCCATTTAAACGATTGTTGGACAAATCCCTGAGAATAAGACAATTCAAATGCTTTGTTAGACGCCATTTTGAATGGTAAATATGATTTCCTCACTTGTGCTCATCGGAATGAAGTGATAATTGTTATACAATGGAAATTTTGAGATGCTTACAGGTATTGTATCATTGTGAGATTTGATATACCGGAAGAAATTTCCCCTGCCAATCCACTCCACGACAAGTTCCTGATTTCATAGCACTACCTCTTAAAAGAAAAGTTTGGGCAAAATTAATAAGTTTTGCAGTCTTGAATATGGATCATGACTTACAGGGATATGATGCTCGGTTGTCTTTCATCAATATAACTGCAATCAAGACCATCCCACAAGTATTTTTGAGGGTAACATGGATCTCCTTGCCAGTTTTTCTTCACATTATATGTTGATTTTAGGTTCAGCAGTGCATCAACTAGTATTGAAATGAATGAGAATGATAATGATTTACATGTTTATGAATACAACCGGGAAATATATGATGAAAGAAGATCATGGTTAAATTACAAGTTTAGTCTTTGAATTAAAAGTATCTAATAGGTCGGTTAAACTTTCAATTTTGTATCTAATAGGCTTCTGACAACTCAATATTTTTAAAGAAAAAATTTCAACTCTATTAGATACAAAATTGAAAAGACAAGATTTGTTGGACACAAAATTGAAAGTTTAAGATTTATTAGACACTTTTTAAAGTTCATGGACCTATTAAACACAAAATAGAAGTTTAGGATATATTAGACAATTTTTAAAGTTTAGGAACCTATTAGATATAACTTCGAAAGTTCAGGAGCTAAACTTGTAATTTGACCATAAAATGAAACTAGAGATCAAAGGTTGCAAGAGAACGTACTTTCAGTTTGAGTTGTTTGCAACTGTGTGAATTGTTGTTCTACAAAAATCTCAATGGCATTGATTATGGGTGGAAGAGTTGAGTTTTCAGTTTTATTGAAGGAGAACATATAAGTGCCTCCCTTTTTAGCCATGCTGATACTGCCAAACAGTGTGGTAGTTGACAAATATTTAGGATTCAAAGGCCCATACCAAAGGAATCCATTGACATTGACGTTAAAGGCTCTGTACTCCATTGTTGTTAGGTTTTGGATGTCTGCAAAGTGCATGTAAATATATGATCGATCCGTCTTGTTGCGAGTTTGCCAAGCGAACTCCAGGGGTTGGCTGCCATGTTTCGGCGTATTTGCAGTTGCCAAGACTATGTCTGGAATTTCATATCTATTGCGCTTAATGGAATTAATAGAAGATGAAATGCTTTTCGAGCTAGATAAGTTTAAGTTTGAGGGCAACCATATTCGATCATAGGTATCAGCAGGATACCTGAGAAGAAGAGAGTTATACAGAAATCAAGTAAGCTCGCCGAACACTCTCAGTCGCTAATCAACAAGGAGAATGCACCTCACCTCACAGTTTTATTGCTTTCTGAACCGAGATCTAACCGCTCGAGGAGCTTCAGGGATCCAGATGCTGCTACATAAGTGCCATTATTCAGAGGCCTTATCTCTAATGCTGATATGAAAGGCACTCCAGGTCCATCTTTTATTAGGCAGATTTGGATATAATCTAATGGAGGGGCATGTATCAGTTCTTTTGTTACTGTTTCGGAAGCATTCTGCAGAGAAACTGAATCCCAACGGTCAACTCCAAGAAACAAATCAAATGATGGCAGTTGTTGTCTGTTATCATAGTTGCCATACATGAATCTCACTCTGATCAAGTACCTGTTTTCCCCACCCCCTTGTAGTCTTATCGTGTAACAGTTTCTGATGCCTTCAGGAAAACTTCTGAGATTCCAGAATTGCTTCTCGGCCGATCTGTTCGTGTAATCAGGCGATATATCCTTGAGTTCACCAGTGTCGATGAACTCGGCATCAGAAACGTATTTTATCCCTGTTATTTTATCTGTATAACTAGAGTTTTCTGGTATCCCGCAATCTATGCTGATGAAACCTAACAAGTGAAAGGAAAAGAAAAACATCACTCTTTTTGTCCTCGAAACATGAAGAATCGTGAAAGAAACAGATCGAACCTGATTGATTATCGGCGCGGGCCAGAACAAGGAGAGCCAAGAATGCAGAAAACAGGAGAAGTGTAGCCATTTCTGTCCACACTTTTGATGGTATTCCTAATGATCAGCAAAAAATCCTCTCTCTATGGAACAAAAATAACAACTACCTTTGAGAGATTGCTTGTTCAATAAAAAATTTGTACTAAATTAGATATTTGTTTGCAGGTGGCCTCATGGAACTTATCATTAATTGGTGGTGGCCAAAGAAGGCAGCTACAAGTTGAAGAATCGAGTCATTTGAACAGGTCAAGCCACTACTATTCAATTGAAACTTCTGTAACATTATTTCCATTTGCCAAAACATTGTCATTTGTCAGTGTCAAGAATGCCTTTGATGGAAAAAAGGAGAGAATTGGGGGAGACAATTCCTAAGAAAAGTAGGAGAAAATAAAGATTTGTAGCCATTGATATGTCTGAGTTTGAAGCAGTCCAAGTCTATGCACTTGACCACTTCTTTATCATGTTTGACTTGTCATATTACCAACTGTATTGGTCAATGTTTATTGTTTTTCATTTTTTAGTACAGCATATATACGTAGATGGAAGATCGAACTCACAATTTTTTGGTTTGAGATATATTTCCATTACTGTTGAACTATCCCTTTCCTGCTAGGATTGGAAATCCTGTATTTTACATATCCATACGATTGAGTCCAGTCCTTGGGTTTCCGAAATAGTGTAAAAAGAGGTGCTTCGAATCATTACTATTTGACTTGGACCTGTTCTAAAAAAGTCGAGGCATTTCGAATTGAAATGGTAGACACGCGAGACTCAAAATCTCGTGCTAAAGAGCGTGGAGGTTCGAGTCCTCTTCAAGGCATAATGTTGAGAATGCTCGTTGAATTGGAAGGAATAAGTTCGGCAGCGGATCACGAAATCTTGGCGATCTTCTCTATCTAATGAATGGGAGTCCGCTTTAAAATCGTCCGCCCTGCACCCACCCCCCGAGTATATGCTCCAACAGGCTCATTTTGACGTCAATGTTTATTGTTAATACTCAATAGTTAATAGTCCATTATTTTTAAAATTAGGCCCTATTGTTGAAAATATTTCAATTTAGTCCCTTGTGTTTTACCTTTTTGTTCAATTATATTTTTCCATATATTAAAATTGGCGGTCATAAACTTACATGATGCTGAGTGAATTGGTAAAATCTTGGAGAAATTTAGAAAAAAAGTTCCTAATTCTTTCTCCAAATTTCTTAAAACCTGGTTGAATTTCAACTTTTCTTTTTTTTGGATGACCTAATTCCTCTTCTGAATTTATTTCAACTCATTAAATATCATGTCATATAAGTTTATTGTCATGACTCAATTTTAATATTTATTGACGAGAAAAATATAATTAATAAAGGAGTAAAAACATAATTGTTATTAAAAGTTAAATCCAATCAAATGTAGAAAAGTTTAGAAGTTCATTAGTAAAATTTGAAAATCAGCTACTAACTAGATTTTGCAAATCATATTAATTGAACAAAATGATTTTATATAAATTAATATACAATCAACTTTATCAAACATAAAAATATAGTTAAAATATTTTCATAATCATTTTTGTTCTATGAGAAAAGTAAATGATACGTTGACCAGTTGAATATATTTACGTACAATCACTTGAAGATTTTTTAAAGTAATGTCAAAATTACTTTTAAACAGTTTTAAAGTAATATAACATAAACAACAACTTATAACATACCAAATGTACTAAAAAAGGAAAAAGAAAATTTAAGTATTTTAAGTTACAAATGTAAAATCAAAGCGAATATAACTCAACGATAACTAGTATATACCGTTGCATATTAAAATTCATAGTATATTATAAAGCATTTTAAGGCCGAGAAATATGAACATGCCAAGTTTTGAGCCACTCGCCGCAAAAAATACAGAGAAATCGAGAAAAACAGAGGGAAGAGGATGTTACGAGGATCCGGTCCAAACTTCACCTGGCCATGGGTCCCGATTGAGCAGGCAAAACCCTGTAGATGGATGTCATGTCAGTGTAATCTGTTGAATTCGGGGGATGACTCTCCGGCGTTCGATCCAGTTCTGTGGCCAAGCAAACTTTCAGTTCTGCCACCACTTGACCCATTGTTGGCCTTCTAATGGAGTTCACCGCTACACAAGCCATTGCTATTTCCACCGCTTTCTGGACAGAGGTTATGTTATATTCTCCTTTCAATCTTGGGTCTGCTATACTTTGAGTGTCACCTTGAGCTAACCTGGAGCCGACCCATTTGACTATATGGACCGAATCCTTGCCTTGGGATTTTGATATCGCTGGTCTGCAACTCACTATCTCCAACAGGGTAATGCCGAAACTGTACACATCACTTTTTGCACTCAACCTGTTTAATGTTTTGTACCTGAGAGACAAGCCGTGAAGTTTTCGATTTTTTCAACTGGAGAAGGAATGGCTTGAGAAATTTTGAGATTGGAACTTACTCTGGGTCGAGGTAACTGGCCTTATCATCTGTTGGGTGGCTCTTCGAAAGGCCAAAGTCAGAAATTTTAGCTTGTAAATTTTCAGTTAGCAAGATGTTTGCTGCCTTCACATCTCCATGGATTATTGGTGGCTTACAACCATCATGCAGGTACTCTAGTCCTGCATTTTGCAAACTCGATACCACATGGTTTTCATTTTGTAGAGGAAAAAAACAAAAATAGATAATGTGTTGTGAAGAAGTTTGAATGAAAATTTTTCACACCTTGTGCTGCATCCATTGCTATTCGGAGTCTATCTTCCCAACTTAAGACACGTGAACTTATCTCTGTATGTGTATATTCAATGAAATGAACAGGGGGAAACCTCAATTTTCATTTTTGTTATTGAAATGGATTTATAGTCTTTAATATAACTTGGAATTTGACGCATGTGCTTCAAATCATTGCTAGATGCTAGAAGGTTACCAGAAAGGCGCTGTGCTAAACTTCCATTGGCCATGTACTCATAAACGAGACCAAGGTGAGTTCCTTCGTTCAAATATCCTACAAGACTTGTCAAGTTTCTGTGTTGAACTTTGAGAAGAACTGTAACCTGTATAAAAGTAGCATATGTTTAGAAGTGTGAGCTAAATATTTTTATGTGAATATCAAAATATGAGATACTACATATAACTACATTCCTCTGCTTTAAATTGATCGTGGCCTTGTATGGCAGATGGAGCTAGCATCTTCACAGCCACTTGGATATCATCAACCAACCCATGGTAAACCGCTCCAAAACGGCCTCTGCCAAGAATCCTCGCAAAATTGTTGGTCATTCTCACAATTTCAGAATAAGTAAACGGCTTTCTTCTGGTTTCCAAATAACTGCCACCCAAAATGTTGCTTTCTGGACGATCCACCTCCGCGACATCTTTACCTTTCTGTTTCCTTTTTGATCTAGCAATCCAAAAGACAACCCCTGCAGTTATGACAATCACAAGCAGGCCACCAACTGATGCTACTATTGGAATGACAAACTTGTTATTTTTTTCCTTCTCCTTCTCCACTTCTTTCTCCTCCCCGGTGCATTCAACTGCTCCTATATTTGGATTACCTTTCATACTGTCATCAATTGATTTCCATAGCAGGCTTGTTAGACTTATATTTTGCTTTTGAAATATTATTTACAAGTTAATGTAATTGAAGAAAGGGACCTTAATGATAGTGAACTATCGTTGAATCTTCTTATGAGTTCAAGTGGAATTGGACACGAGAGATTGTTGTTCTCCAATTTTCTGAAAATAGAGAAAATAGTTCTTTAATCATCCTACAAATTGCGTGGTCCTTGGCTCTTATGTTGCAAATAACTTACAAGACTGTGAGGTTTGACAATTTGGATAGAGAATCGGGCAGTTTTCCTGCTAAGCTATTGTTTGACAAGTCCCTGAAATTAAAACTCAATTTATTGCAATTGGTTGAAAGATGAAGTTGCATCTTGTAGATCTAATTTTCCTATCATTTAAATGAGAGAATACTTACAAAATTTGTAAGGCTGTTAGACTGGATATGTCTGGAGTTATATCACCTGTCAGACCGCTCGATGACAAGTTCCTGTAAGATTTTTTATGAGTTCATTTATCTCAACTTCTACTGTTAGCTGCCAAACTTAGATGATAAGGTTATTATTCACTAAGCAAATAAGGCATGTTCTTACAGTGATATGATTCTTGGGGTTGACTCATTGCTGCAACCTACACCACTCCAAGGGTATGCCCTTGGGATGCATGGATCTCCTTCCCAATCTTTGATTACTCCGTAAGTCGACTTTATTTTTCTGATTGCATCCACTAATTTTTCGTACAATATATTCATGAAGTTAGCACTCAAGTTCAAATATTTGTGCCATCCGAATGTAAAAGGCAAAACTTAGAGGCTAACGATGAGAAATTAAATCAACGTACCATCTCCTTGATCTGATTCTAATTCTGAGATGTTAATTTTGAAATATATTTCTACAGCATTGAGGATTGGAGGAAGTGTTGAATTTTCAATTCGAGAAAATGTAAAGTTGTGTTCATTTTCTGGGAATCCTAATGGGTTGGTGCTATAAATGCTGCTTGTGTGCAAGTAATCTGGAATAACAGGCCCCTTCCAATATTCTCCATTATAACTGATGTTGAAGCCTCTAAATTGATTTCGTTGAAGCTTTACCACCTCAGCAAAGTGAAGATACATATAATATTGGGTATTTTTATCAGCTGGCTCCCACGAAAGAGAAAAAGATCTACTCGCATTTTTGGGGACAAAGGCAGTTTCCATGACAATGGCTGCTGGTTGGTACTCTGTGTGATTATCGGCATCTACAGTAAGAGTGGTATTTAATCGATTGAAATCTTCATCATTATTATAAGGTGTCCAAATCCGATCGAAAACATCATAAGGGAACCTGAAACAAAGGTGCACACACATACAAGAAATAAGTCTTTTCACTTCATTAGAAATCCATGTGATATAAAACAATTTCAATCTAAATTGATAAATCAATAATAACTAACCTGTATAATATGTTCGATGATGAACCCATATCCAGTCGAGTAAACAGTGACAAGGATCCAGATTCAACTGGGTAAATAAGATTTGGCAAGGGTCTAAATTCCAATGCAGAGATGAAAGGTATTCCAGCTCCTGTATTAATTAGACAGATTTGTACACTATTTGCTGATGGAATATGTATGATATCGTAGTCGAATTTGATTGCTTCTGTCGTTATATTCACTGTGGTCCACATGCTATCTCCAAAGTAGAGATCAAAGTTTGGTAAGTATCTTAACCCGTCGTAGTTACCATACAAGAAGCTTGCTCGAATTAAATATTTGGTGTCGCTAACAACATCGCTTATGTTGTAACAGTTCCTGATGCCTTCTGGAAAGCTTCTAACGGACGATAGCTGTTCTTCATAGCTACTTTTGTTCAAGTCTATGCTCTTGTTTACACCACTGTTTATGTATGCTGCATCTGAAATGTAAGTGATATTGGTGGTTGATTCTTTGTAGCTCGAATTTGCTGGTAGTCCACAATCTATGCTTATGAAACCTGAGGATCATTTTAGCCAAATATGTTTTTAAGAGGGTTTATTACACTGAAAATTTGAATATGCATAACAATATTTACCTGATTGATCTTGAGCTTGAGCGATAATTACGAGAGCTAGACAAACCAGAAAATATCTTGTTCTCATATTCATCGTCACCCTTTCGAGTCTCACTTTGATTTGCTGCAGATAAGAACTCAAGTAGGTGTTCTTTGAATGGAAACTTGAAGAATGGTCATCAGCTTGAACCAGAGTACTGTTGTTTCCAAGAATTATCAGCTTATTCAGGTTTCCTCCAATTAATTAAAGTTCTCATATATACACTTGGTACTCATGTCTGGCATTTCATATATCATTTCTATTACTTGGCAATTGAACTTCAACTATATGATTTTGATATATGGTGATTTTTATTTATATTTTGAGGATGAAGACTTCGTACAAATATTGATGACATATTTAAGATTAGAATAAGATCATTTACTTTATTAAAAGTCATTATCTTCCCATGGTAGTTGCATTAGTTGCCTTGAAAAATCTCATTTCTGCTGTATGGATAAATTTTGAACAGTGCTTTAGTAATACTTTAAATTTGAAATTCTCATCCAATTAGGCAAAAGAAAAAACATTGAAATTCAAGCATCAAGATTCGTAGTCTTCAAAACAATGAGATATTCAGCTTGCTAGATCTAATTGTTTCACAAGTTATAGATTTAGACCATTTTTAGCATCTACAGATCAACATATCTTCCAGCAAAGAACCTTAGATTTTTATTTTTTGAATTATAATTTTATGCAGTTCTTATTTGGGGGTGTTTTTGCAAATATTCAATAGTTGACCTAAGACAAACAGTTGACCAAGAGAATTTCAACCAAACAATCTGCATCGCTGCTGTCAGCAGAATAGGTTGATTATTTAAAGTTTAAAGCCTTCTATTTTATAGCCAAATATTCCATTGAATAATAGGAAGAATGCAACTAGCAAGGAACTCATCAAACACCCATTCTTTTTTAAATATCCACAAGTGTCTAGGCGACTTTGTACGTACCTAGAATAGTTTCACGGGATAACTACACGATTCTTTCAACATTTGGTTGTTTCTTTTTCTCCTTTGAGAAAAAATTAGGCATTTTTTATTTTAGGATACTACTCTCTTTGTTCACACTATAATTTTTTAATGTTGATGTATCCCATGTAATTTTTAAATGATGCTAATGTGATACACAATAAATGATCRTAGCATAGGAAAATTTCAATTAAATCCTTTATCAATCGAGCTATATACAAGTTGGAGGGGTGGATACTTTCATTGTTTAAGAGAAACCAATAAGTAGAAGCTTAACAAGTATTTGTTTTTGTCTAAATCCTTTTTAYTTTATGGCATGAGTATTAATATTTATTTATTTTTCTAAGAATATGACTGAGTATTAAAAAGACCAAAATAACCTCAATTATTCGAGTAATTTGCTAGGGTTTAGGGAATCCCTCGTAATTTCTACATTTTMTATAATCTTTCCCTCCAAAATCTCTGGACCTTCCAATGCGAGCATTCAAGAAGAAGAAACACAGTCCTTTCATTTCAGACAATAGACGATCTCAAATGCACAAGAGCAGGTCGACGCTGAGGGTTTTATGATTCATCTCCATCATCAGGTCGTTCACAAAAATCTTTATGTTTCTTGTTGTTTAATTGTTCCAAAATCGCAATTGCAGAATACATTAATATAATTGCACACTGTATGCTAGATTGCAAACTCGATTTCAGTGATTACATCAATCTTGTATATCATGTTTTTGTTCTGAATTTCATTATCTTTAGCGATTTGATTGATGAAGTATCGATTTCAAATACTTGAAAGGGAAATCGAAAGTTCAAACCAGAAAAATCCGAAGCCATAGACGTAGAAGCAAATCTTGATTCACACTTTTACACTCATTTCGTAGAATTACTTCACCTTGCCATGGGACTGGAGTAATTAATGTTCATACCCATATTAATGGACATCATTTCGATCGATTCTTTCGAATCCAGTGGGCGGCTGTCCGACCTCTGACTCAACTCCATGGCCAAGCAATCCTTCAGCTCCGCCACTACTTGACTCATGGTTGGCCTTCCAGCGGAGTCTGCTGTTACGCAAGCCAATGCTACTTCCACCACTTTCCATACAGAGTTAGTTTCATACACTCCTTTTAATCTGGGGTCAACTAAGTTCTTGATATCTCCTTGGGCAACCATGGCGCGGAACCATTTGGCTATGTAAGCTGTATTTCGATCTTGGGTGTTCGAAATTACTGGTCTGCAACTAATAATTTCCATCAGGGAAATGCCAAAACCATACACATCGCTTTTTTCAGTTAGCCTGTTTGATGTGTAGTACCTGAGAGACGAGCCATGGATTTGACATTTATCAATTTGAGAAGGAACGGATTGGCAAATGTTTGAAAGTTAGTACTTACTCTGGATCAACGTAACCCGGAGTGCCAACAACAACGGTGGTCATGTAAGACTTGTCATCTGTTGGGTAGCTCTTGGACAGACCAAAATCAGAAAGTTTGGCTTGGAGATTTTCTGTCAATAAAATGTTTGTTGTTTTCACATCTCTGTGGACTATTAGTGGCTTACAACCGTGATGCAGATACTCCAGTCCTGCATTTGTTTTTGCGTATTCCACACTGTAAGTTTTTCCTTTTCTAGAATGCCGATAATGTGTTTGTGGAAAAGTTCAAAGAAATTATAAACTTATCACACCTTGAGCTGCATCTATTGCGATTTGAAGTCTGTCTTCCCAACTTAAGATGCTTGACCTTTTCTCTGTGTGCAAAAGGCGGGAAAGCTTCAAATTTCGTTTTCTAAATTTGAATCGAATGCAATATTTTCAATTCATAAGTGGGTTGTGAAGCATGTGCTGTAAGTTGTAGGTAGAGCTAGAAGATTACCAGAAAGATGCTGTGCTAGATTTCCGTTTGCCATGAACTCATAAATGAGGCCAAGGTGACCTCCATCATTCATATACCCTACAAGGGTTGTTAAGTTCTTGTGGTGAACTCGCATAAGAATTGTAACCTGAGAGAAAATGGAAATTGTTTCAGTCTAACAAAGAACAGAGAGAATTTCTCCTGAAAATGAGATACTGTGTTTTATGCACATGCCTCTGCTTGAAACTGATGGTAGCCTTGTACTGCTGACCGAGTAATCATCTTCACAGCCACTTGAATGTCATCTAGAACTCCATAGTACACCATCCCAAAACCTCCCTTACCGAGAATTCTCTCAAAATTGTTGGTCATCCTCACAACGTCATCATAAGTAAACTGTTGTCTCCTTGTCTCTAAGGAACTGCCTAAATGAGTGTTGGTCTCTGTACGGTCCASTACCAAAGCAACATCTTTACCTCGTTTCTTATTTGATATAGTAATCCAATAGATAATCGCTGCAATTATGAGGATGGCGAGAAATCCACCAACTGATGCTACGATTGGAATAATGAGATTTTTGTTGCTTTTCTTCTTCACTGGTTTCTCATTTGGGCATGACTCTAAAATACATTGATTTAAATCTGGATTGCCTTGTATGCTGCCAACAAATACGATTTGTCAATACAACAATAACTTGAAACTATGAACATAAATGTTATATATGAAAAAGAATGCAAATTCCCTCCCTGTAATTGACCTTAATGTAAGTGAACCGTCCTTCTTTCTTTTGATAAGCTCAGGTGGAAGAGAGCCTGTGAGATTGTTATTCTCTAAGTTTCTGCGGAGAGTGAAAACGATGGTTTAATTTCTGTCCGACAAATTAATTTGTGCTTCACTTCTTTCTTCTAGGTTAACTTACAGGATTTGGAGGTGTTGCAACTGGGACAGAAAATCCGGTACTTCTCCTGTCAAGTAATTGTTTGATAAATCCCTGAAATATAAGTACATTTTTTTATTAGCATTGGTTTAAGCATACTGATCTAAATGTGAATGGGTAGACTCTTACAATGTTTGTAACATTTCTAGACTGATTATGTGTGGAGATATCTCACCCTTCAATCCGCTTGAAGACAAGTCCCTGGTAACAAAATCCAATTCTCTCTTATATATAGAAGATTCTGGCTAGTAGTGAGGTTCAATTCTATCATATAGTAAACTCTGGCTAGTAGTTGATAGAATTGAACTTTATTTATTACTTTATAACTCAAGGCGTAAACTTACAGTGATATGATTCTGGGAACTGAATCAGAACTACAATTCAAACCACTCCATGGATATCCTCTTGGCACGCATGGGTCTCCTTCCCAGTTTTTGATTACTCCATAAGTTGACCGAACATTACTGATTGCATCCACTGCTTTTCCGATATATCCATAAATCAATAGTTACAAGTAAGCCAAAAAATATCACTTTGAACAAAAACTGAAAATGGCATACCATCTTCCTTGTTTGATTCTAATTCCGAGATCTCCATCACAAGATAAATTTCCAAACCGTTGATGATTGGAGGAAGAGTTGAATTTTCTATTGGGAATAGTGAAAGTTGATGTTGTAACGATGACATTTCAGATGGTTCGATAGTATAAATTGTTGTTGTGCTTAAGTAATCGGGAATAATAGGTCCATACCAATAATCCCCATTATAAGTGATGTTAAATCCTCTGGATTGGTTGGTCTGAAGCTTTTCAAGTTCAGCAAAGTGCAAATATACATAAAATTGGTCACTTTCATAATTTGAGTCCCATGAGAAATTAAGGTACCTCCCTTTTTTTGGAGTTGCTGCAGTTTCCATGACGATGGCCGCTGGATGGTAGTTATTGTGACCATTAGCATCTACAGTGTCTGAGGTACTTAATTGTGCATAGTCATCACCATTGTACCGTTCCCAAATTCGATCATAAACATCGTAAGGGAACCTAAGGAAACACACACATGATTTACATTAGCGAGTATTTTCTTACTTACCAGGAAAGTTAAAGATTTTTTCATGGCATGTATGAACCGACCTGTATTGATCATCTCTTGTTAACCCCATATCCGACCGATAATAAAGGTACAAGGATCCAGATGCAGTTGGGTAAGTGACATTAGGAAGTTGTCTAAATTCTAATGCTGAGATGAATGGTATTCCGTGGCCAATGTTGAGAAGACAGATTTGCAATTTATTTGTGGAAGACATATGCATGATCTCTGTAAAGAAGCTACCATCCACCGTTGTCCATAGGGTATCTTCCAAGTACAGATAAAATCTAGGAGAGTTATTGAAACCATCATAATTCCCGTATATGAAAGTTGCTCGAATCAAATATCTGGTGCCTCTGACGATGCTTATATTGTAACAATTTCTGGTTTCACGAGGAAAGAATCTGAGATACAAGAGTTGTTGTTGATACTTATCCTTGTATATTGGCGATATGCTTCCAGTTTGACCGGTGTTTATATATCCTGCATCTGATACATACTTAATTTTTGTGTAGGGTTCACTGTAGCTGGATGAATTTGCTGGTAAGCCACAATCTAGGCTAAGAAAGCCTGGGAAACCGTTACTTGTTAGCCTTTTTTTTTCCTTTTGGAAAATGATTTAAAGAAAAGGCTAAATTACAAAAAAATACTCTTGGACTTTGCCATTTGTTTAAAAAAGATCCCTATTTTGTGTCATAAGTTTCAATACTACCATTTACCTTTCATAAAAATTTCAAAAATGTCATTCGAGCAAACATTAGTTAATATTTTGAAGGGAAAATTGATGTGACTGAATCTAGAACGACCTTACAATTAACGTAACATTTTATTTGAATTAAGTCTAAAAAGAGAGGAAATGTGAAAAAAGTTATCGTTTATAAAAGGAGATGCAGACAAAATTGGGTAGATTGGAGAGAAGCAAACTTTGTTGACTATGAAGAAAGAAATTTTTTGGGGGCAAAATTGGAGATATGAACTTTTTATTACCAATGGAGAAGCAACCATGCTATCAATCTAGATTCAATCACATCTACTTTTCATTCAAAATATTAATGTATGTTTGTTTAAAGGATATTTTTGAAACGTTTATGAAATGTCAAGAGTAGTATTGAAACTTTTGAAAGGTAGAAGTATTTTTTAAACAAATGGCAAAATATTCGCAGGTTATGGAAATTGAGAAAGTTACCCGATTGATCTTGAGCTTGGACAAGGAGTGCAAGAAAACTATACAGGAACCACCTCAATGTTGCAATTTCCATTAGACTCTCGCAACTTTGCTCTTGAAGATTGGACAACAGGTGAACTAAACTAAACTTGCAGTTTGTTCATTAGAAACTAAGCATTGGACGTTTTATCAGTGTGTTAAGACTCATTTTTTTCCCAACCAATTTGACATATTTAAAGAGAATTATAAAAGAATAAAAACTTTTATCAGCATTGGACGTCTTACCCTTCATATTGCTTACCCCTTCCCACCTTAGATAAGTTATTGAAAGGTCACTTTTAAACGGACTTTTGCCCGAAATTATAAAAGAATGAAACAAATGGGAGTATCAAACTATTAAAATATAGCGTCACATAAAAATGATAGTTAGGAATTTAGAAAGAATGTCAGCTGTACTATCAGCATCAATGCTGCTCTGGAATTATTGAGGCTTGATCGCCATGCCTCTTCTCCCTTTAAGGTCAACTGCTTTATGAGAAAATAGTATATATATATTTCTCTGAGATAGAGAAAATATCTACCTAATGTTTCTAGGAGTCTTAAAAGACTCGATGACTCAAAAAACTCGACCAATCCAACCCAATCCATATAGTTTGGGTTGGGTTGAGTTCAAATAAATAAAAATTTTATGAGTGATATAGCTTCTTGCCTATTATATACCTTGGTCGTCTCATTGCCAAACACTCTTAAATCTATTAGGAGGTGTTTAAGGTGATGGTTTTGATTTGAGTTTAGACGTTGTTAAGCTTCACACATAACATTGTTAAGCTTAAGATGTCGAAGGTGCGTCCTTATGAATCATAGTTGGCCTCGTGATTGGAATTGAGGATATGCAATCCGTTGCCACTTCTGTTGCTTTCCATTGAATAGATTAGAATGGAAGGCCGAGGCTAGATGATCAGTTAGATTTAGCCAAAAACATTGTCTTTCATTTAGAAAATTATAATGGGGCAAATCATGGAACAAATTTGTCTTTTTATTTGTCTTTCTTTAGAATAACAAATATTGGTATTTAACTAGAAGAAGGTCCAAACTAGAACAACTAAGGAGAGTTGCTTCCATGAAAATTCATCTACCTTTCTTGAAAATTTGTGATGGATGAAACCAGAGGGACAAATTCAAGACTCGAACCGATTTATCGGTTGTTATCCTGGGAATTCTCCAACACAGCCGAACATTCCTTCAGTTCCATCACTGCCTGGTTCTTGGTTGGCCTTTTGGATGAAGATTATCAATATAGGGTCACATGAAAATGATAGCTAGGAATTTAGAAATGATTTAATATTGGAGTTTTGGATAAAAAAGATTATGAAAAGTTTACTAACATTATTATAATTATATGCAAGTTTGATTTGATCATATTTTGAGGTCAAACAATTGATTGAAAGAATGTCAGCTGTACTATCAACATTGGTAGTACTTTATTATTAGCAACATTATCTGGAATTATATATATATATATATATATATATATATATATATATATATATATTTAGTTCAACGACACTTGTAAATATGTATACGAATTATAATTGAGCTTTATTCATGTTGATTTATTATCATTTTCGATCACCATGCTTCTTCAATTTAAGGTCAACAAGATTGAGAAAAATAGTATATATATTTTTTCTCTAAGATATAGAAAATAACTACCTTGCTTTAAATGCATTGGTTTATTATTCCTTTCTAATACTTTTTTAACTAGTTATACTTTAGTCTTGATATGCCATTATTTTAACCGATTAGTTTAAATTCAAATTTATTTCTCACACCATTTTTCAAATTGTCAAGCTAACTATATTTCATGTCATTTTATCTAAGTTTCAAGAAATGAAGTATTACGATAATGTTATATCCATTTTTACTAACCAACAAACATGATTCAAAGTCTCCAGTATTAAATTTTTATCTACATACAAACATTCTTAAATGTTTATGGGTTTGAGACAGAAAGAAAAAGTGAATCGATATTTTTATAGTATTGCAAAAAAATTTACAAAATATTGAAAAGATATCAGCGTTGTAGAAATAATATTAATAATATGAACTTTTTACTTAGGTAAAATGGTAAATACTTATTTATTAATTTAAATATATTTTCTATTTATTTAATGATTTAAAAATATTTTTATAAGATTGAGACTCCACGTATATTTAAAAAATCCGTCTTATTTAACTTTAATTCAAATATTTTTTATGTTTAAAATTATGGTGAAGACATCTTCTCACTTTCAATGAATTATTGGTCTTCTAGTGTTAGAAGAAGTCATGTTCGTTCTGAACATCTACAAGGCCTTTTTAGAGGACAAGTCGAAGGAAAAGACTGACCCATTCGATGACTTTCATGATCGCCCTCACTAAACCGATTTGAATATGAACTTAATCAAGTCTTATCAAAATCGGATTTCCTTTTCGTGCCATATGCACTTAGACTTAACTTTATCTCTTTTTTATCCTAGTCCAATATTATTTTCGAAAGTCTTAGTTTTCGTATCGAAGCAAACTCTCTTGATTCATGACCTACTCTGTTTTCAGTGATCTTACGAACATAAACTTTTCAATTGTAAATTTATACACTTCCCTTGTTGTACTTAAAAATAAAACAAAATCATAAAAGAAATTGAAAAAAAATCATTTGAAATACATTTATCAAATAAATGACCATGAAAGTCTCGTCGTGTGACTGCCAAATAAACGAAATAAAATTACAGAGAGGATTCGATGACAAATACAATACAAATCTACTTCGAGAAATCATTCGATGAAAAATTGGTCGACAAAAATGAACTGGAAAGAAGACGAAGACGATGAAGATATGAAGACGACCCAAGATTCAGAAATGGAGAATGAGCCAAGTCCTCAATACATTCACCTTGCCTGGGGACGGGATTCGGAAGCATTGAAAGCCACAGACATGGACCTCATTTCAGTGGAATCCGTCGAATTCAGCGAACGATTCTCCGTCCTCCGATTCAATTCCGTGCCCAAGCAATCCTTGAGTTCTGCCACAACCTCGCTCATCGTCGGCCTTCTACTGGAGTTCGCCGCTACACAAGCCATCGCTACTTCCACCGCTTTCCAAACAGAGTTAGTTTCATACTGTCCTTGCAATCTTGGATCAACTATGTTCTGAATATCTCCTTGGGAAACCAAGGAGTTCACCCATCTAGCTATATGAGGTGTATCTTCGGTTCTTGATATTACTGGTCTGCAACTGATTATCTCCAATAGCGCAATCCCGAAGCTGTACACATCGCTTTTCTCTGTCAGCCTGTTCGATACGTAGTACCTGAGAGACAAGCCAATGAATCTGTTTAATCGAGTTTTTGTTTCAATTAATTTGGGTTTTGTTTATAATTGCAGATGAGAAAACCAATCAATTTGATGATGGTCAAGTGGTTGAAAACTAGTGCTTACTCGGGATCGAGGTAACCAGGAGTGCCAGCAACAACTGTGGACACGTGGGTTTTGCCATCTATGGGGAAGCTTTTGGACAGACCAAAATCTGCAAGTTTTCCTTGCAAATTCTCTGTCAACAAGATGTTCGTTGTTTTGACATCTCTGTGGACAATGGGTGGCTTACAACCATAGTGCAGGTACTCCAATCCTGCAATTTTCATATTCACATTGTTTGTCCTCTATTTCGTTGGGGGAGAGAAATAATGCTTATAACTTGTTTGTAGAAATGATTGAATGAATGATTAAATTGGTCTAGTTTTTTCACCTTGAGCTGCATCCATTGCTATTCGAAGTCTGTCTTCCCAGCTTAAGATACGATTACTCCTCTCTGTTTACAAGTGGAATAAAAAAAAGAAAGAAAGTTAAACTCACTGTTCTTTACAAAAGGCTTGGAGTTTAGAATAGTCTTCTAAGTAGTATTGTGAAGCTCATTGCAATTGGATTTACCCGAAAGGTGTTCTGCCAAATCTCCATTGGCCATGTACTCATAAATGAGGCCGAGGTGGTTTCCTTCACTCAAATATCCAACAAGGCTCGTCAAGTTTCTATGGTGAACTCTCATAAGAAGGGTAACCTGCAGTTTTGAAGTAACTAGTTTAGTCTGATATAATATTGTAAGCTAACTAGTAAGCTCAGAATTGAGGTTAGCGTGCCTCTGCTTGAAATTCCCGATATCCTTGAGATGACGATAATGACAACATCTTCACAGCCACTTGAACGTCGTCAACGACACCATGATAGACCTCCCCAAAGCCTCCTTTACCCAGAACTCTTTTGAAATTGTTGGTCATTTTCACCACCTCAGAATATGTAAACTGTCGTCTTCTCACCTCCAATGAATTACCAAATTGACTGTTGGTTTCTGACTTTTCCACCACCGAGATGACATTTTTACCTTGTTTCCTTCGACATTTGATGATCCAAAAGGTTATTGCAGAAATTGCGAGGACAACTAGGAACCCACCAATCGATGCTACAATTGGAATGATAACATTTTTATTTTTCTCTTCGTTCTTTGAACATGAATCTAATGCACATCCATCGAGATTTTGGTTACCTCCCACACTGTCAATTCAATAGTACTACTCATGATTAGATAATTTAGACTTAGATCGTGATTTTGGAAAGAATTCAGTTTTCCAGGAAAAATGATGTAATATATGAAGCTTAAGAGTTCAAATGATAAAAAATTATAATTGGAATTCTTTTTCCCTCCTCTCTCTCTCCTCTCACACAAACTGACCTTAATGATAGTGAACCATCATTGGATCTTTTCAAAAGATCAGCCGGAATTGGACCCGAGAGCTTGTTGTTACCTAGGTTCCTAGAAAGAGGGAAAAAAAAAAGTCAATTGTGCTCTGGCTCTGGTCAAGCTTCATATTTGTTTTCTAAAATAACTTACAAGGTTTTGAGGTGTGACAAAGTAGACAGGAAGTCGGGCACTTTCCCTGTCAAGTTATTGTTTGACAAGTCCCTAAAGAAACAAATTCAGAAGATTAGTATTTATTTTCCAAATAAATTTAGCTTATTTAATCTATATATCTGACGAATGAAGGAGAGACTTACAAAGTTTGCAACATTGTTAGATTGGATATATAAGAAGATATTTCACCTGTTAGTCCACTTGCAGATAGGTTCCTGTTCATAAAATTCACATTTCTCATGAATTCGTGTGATTCATCCTTACGACAAATTTAAGCTTCATAGAAGGCTTGCACTTACAAGGATATGATTCTTGGTGTAGCTTCGTTGCTACAATTTATTCCACTCCAGGGATACCCCATTGGCACACATGGATCTCCTTGCCAATCCCTCTTTACTCCATAGGTTGAGTTGATATTGGTAATTGCATCCACTGATTATCCAAAGAAGTAATTAATTAAAACTCAATAACTTTTGAGCTTTGACAAAGTAAACTCACAAAGTGCATCTGAAGGACACCTACCATCTCCTTTATCCGCTTCTAACTCTGATATGTCTTTCGCTGTGTATATCTCGAAAGCATTAACGATTGGAGGAAGTGTTGCGTTCTTAATTGGAATAAAAGAAAATAAATGTCTATTTGCTGCGTCCAATGGTTTTTGACCAAAAATGGTAAGTGTGGACAAATAACTTGGAATCAGAGGTCCATAAAAAAGCTCCCCATTGTGCATGATATCGAATCCTCTACTTTGGTTGGGTTGAAGCTCTCCAACTTCAGCAACGTGTATAAATACGTAATATCGGGTTGAATCTACTGCATCCCACCAAATTTCCAGAGGCTTGCTTGCATTTATTGGAGTTGAAGCAGTTTTCATGACAATGGATGGCGGTTGGTGATTGTTGTGATCGGTAGCATCTACAGTTTGATTGGTGCTCACTTGTGTCCACTCGTTGAAGTTAAATGGTGACCAGATGCGATCATAAACATCATAAGGGAATCTTAAGAGAGAGTAGCCATGTAAACAAAATATTAACTCAGCATCTCGCTTGTTAGCATATACTCTGTTTCATGAATAGTAAATTTGTTTGCAAACTCAGTGCTTAAATACCTGTATGATGTATTCTCAGTCGAACCGATGTCCAATCGAAAATTAAGTGATAAGGATCCTGATGCTGTTTGATAAGTGACGTTGAGTAAAGGTCTAAATTCTAGTGCTGAAATAAACGGCACTCCATCCCCTGTATTGATCAGACAGACGTGAACTTCATTTGAGGAGGTAGTATGTATGAGATCTTTGAAAGTATCAATGTCTACTTTGGTGAAGTTTACTGTCTCCCACAGGCTATTCCCAATATAGAGATCAAACTTCGGTAACAAATTCAAGCCATCGTAATTCCCATATAAAAAATTTGCTCGAATCAAGTACTTGGTACCCCTTTTAATGCTTACGTTGTAACAGTTTCTGATTCCTTGAGGAAAACTTCTAAGTTTCCTCATTTGCCTCTGGAAGGTATCTCCATATATCGGAGCTACACTTCCACTTACGCCACTGTTTATGTAGGATGCATCAGATACATAGTTAATATTCGTCGTCGTTTCGGTATAAGTCGTACCCTCCGGTGTTCCACAGTCTAAACTAATGAAGCCTGAAAAACAAATAAGAGACAACTTAAGCTTAAACTCTCTACATTAACTCTTTGTATATGGATGATTTGAAGAAGGATTGATTGATTAACCATGTAGATCACTTTGTTGTTACCTGATTGATCCTGAGCTTGAACAAGAAGTAGAAGAGCCAGACCACTTAGCAAGAAACAGAAGAGGGATTGCCCTGATATTCCCATTATCTTCGTCTTCTTGGATCTATCTTTTGCTGCATTGATGGACGAGAGTTGAGAAGGCAGACAACTTTTTGTGCACCTCGAGGATATATGGTAAGGGCGTGACGATAATAGAAAGTCAACACAATAGGGATTCTCTTACAGCTGGCAGATTGGTCAATACTCACGGCTGGTCTTTGTGACATGATGAATGAACACGTTACATAGGCAAGTTGACGACTACACATTGAAACTAGAATCCTTTGGTTTATCAATGAGTTTGTGGTTGTTTGAACAAGTAGTTTACAGAATACTTCTTGAAAACTCAGATTGGAGATTAAATTATATATCATGAAAACCATATATTATACAGAGTCGGGGTTTAATTTCTTCATGATGAGCTGCTAAGTGATGAAGACATAGAGGGCCTCCATCTCCATCAAAGTTGACTCTTTTCTTAATGGAAATTTCAAAGGGAAGACAAACCCTTTATCCAATATCTTATGCCTAACTTGGTGCAAGTTGAGAAAAATTTGAATCCAAATGCAAATTAGCCTCCACCAAACTTGAGGTTTTGAAATTTGAAATTTTTTTCATGTTTATCATAAGCTTTCTCGTAGTCTGCTGCCATTGGAGGCCACTCGATGGGTGTACGAATTGAAGGTAGAACTGATTGCAGAAGAGTGCTACCCCATTCCATTTGAACAAGTCTTTGTTTCAGCACATGGGAAGCTGCAGAGTTTGTGAAGTCAATGGCAGGAATTTGGTATTTTTTTCTTTCTTTTGTTCTAACATATACAAGTGGAATGGGAGGATTTTGACTTCAGTGAATTTAGTATGTCAATAAATCATTATTGGTTGCGATGATTGGACTGTTTGTTAGGTGTGTGAACTAAATTTTTAGTCAGAATTGAAAGTTGGCTGTGCAGAGAAAAATCGAAGTTTATGTTGATAGCATAGAATTTGAGTCGGCTGGATTCTTTTTTATACGCGTACATGTCAATTTTTTGTCCTTGTAAATTCTTCTCTTCCTTCCCTGTTTTTCTTTTTCTCAGTAATTTCATTTTTCTTTTCTTTTGAATGTGAATCTCTGTATTCTCTCTACGTTGTTAATTATTTTTGCTGGAGTTAAAAAGATTACAAGTGAATTATAAGTTTAGTTTCCGAACTTTCAGATTTATATTTAATAGGTATTGAAAAAGTGTTTAATGGATTTATAAATTTTTAAAGGTGTGTCATGTCGTTCATGAACTTTTAAAATTTTGTCGTCCCCAAACTTTAAAACTGTCTAATATAGTTTTTAAACTTTTAATTTCGTGGTCTTATATGCATGTATATATATATATTTTTCTTTTTTGAGAAGTTGTGTCTAATATATTTAACCTATTTTGCTCTTGGATATAGGGGTGGATATAGGGGAGCAAAGTTCCGACTCTAAGTTAAAAAAAAAAATTCATAAATTAAAAATCCATAAATTTTTAAACTTTTCAAAAAGATAAAAAACATGTGAAAATCAATATTGAAAGTTCAAGTGTTTGTTAGATGCTTGTCTCGTGAGATTAATCTAGATGCGTGCAAGTTGGTTCGGACATTCATAGATATAAAAAAAAATAAAAAAAAATTTGTTAGATGCTCAGGACTTATTAGATACAAAATCGAAAATTTAGTATACACTACACTTTCTAAAAAATTCAAAAATATATTAGACATAGGTTTAGAGATTAAATTTATAATTTCATTATTTCCGATTTGGTTTATGAGTGGCCGAAATCAAAACGATATTTTGTTCTTAAATTAAAATCGAACCGATTTGGTGCTAGAAACCGAGCCGACCGAATCCCGATCTTCCCTCCAATATCTTAGCTCAGCTCAGCCCCGCGCCCCCGCGTCTCTACTTTTTGTCTCTGCATCTCAAAGTTTGAAACTGAAATGAGAAATTTCTATCTGGTCTCTTACCCTCAGCTTCTTCCCTCCCCTCTTCATCTAGATTCTCTCCCCAAAGTGTTGGAAGAAGGGACTGTGGCGGAGGCGAAGGATAGAGAGAGAAATCGAAGCGACTTGCGTTGGCATTCGGTTGCGCAGCTGTGACCGAGAGTTGCACGGTGAGTGAAGTCTTTGAGATTTAGGGTTAGGGTTTCGGGGGCTGGAGGGCTGGGCTTAATGGGATTGGGCTCAACCCTTAAATGATGCAATCATGTGAAATAAACATTATCAAATGAAACTTACAAGACGATGCAATCATGTGGTAGCGACTTCTGTTTTCAAGGTAAATTTTCAATCAAACTTAAAATGAGATGCTATTCTATCTTACAATTCAAGGTAAAGGAACATGATTCGGCAATACCCATCTGGAAATTTCCCAAAGTTCACCTTGCCATTGGAACGGATTCACTCTCATCCATAACGATGGACGTCATGTGAACGAAATTTGCCTGATTGGAAGCTCGACTTTCCGGCGTCCGGTCCATTTCTATTGCCAAGCAATTCTTCAATTGCGCCACCACTTGGCTCATCATCGGTCTTTCACCAGAGTTCTCAGATACACAATTCACTGCTATTTCCACTGCATTCCAAACCGAGTTCACATCATATCTATTATTTAATCTTCTGTCGACTATGCCATTAATATCCCCTTTAGCGAGCATGGACTTCACCCATTTGCTGATATGAACATTTTTGTCATTCATTGCTATTACAGGTCTACAGCTGATTATTTCCATCAGAGCAACACCGAAGCTATACACATCACTTTTCTCAGTCAGCCTGTTTGATTTATAGTACCTGAGATACGAGCGGTAGGGTTCATTTATTTTCATCTTAATCTGATCCAGAATCCTTAATTTGGAAGGAAGGGAGTTAAATTTGGTTCTTACTCTGGATCAAGGTAACCAAAAGTGCCAGCAACAACGGTGGACATGTAGGTGTTGTTGCCTTCTGTCGGGAAGCTTTTGGACAAACCAAAATCTGCAAGTTTGGCTTGGAAATTCTCTGTCAATAAGATGTTGGTTGTTTTCACATCTCTGTGGACTATGGGCGGCTTGCAACCATCATGCAGGTACTCCAATCCTGTTATTTTTCTAGTCAAAACATTTCGTATATAGATAATTAAGGTGTTTGTAAAAATGCTCATGAACAATAAATTTACCTTGTGCTGCATCCGTGGCTATTCGGAGTCTATCTTGCCAACTTAAGACACGTGAACTATTCTCTGTTTGAATTTGACAAGTTGAGGAAAAGTTAATGTCAATTTTTGGGTTGGGATTGGTTGGTCTACAGAACTTGAACTGGAAATGGAATCGATTAGCTAATTGCAAGTAGATCACCTGAAAGATGCTCCGCTAGGTTTCCATTTTTCATGAACTCATAAATGAGGCCAAGGTGGTCTCCTTCATTCAAATACCCCACAAGACTAGTCAAGTTTTTATGGTGAACTCTCAAAAGAAGTTTAACCTGCAATATAGCGGACAATATTGTAGTGTGTAATATACGAGTGAAGCTAACTAAGAAATGAACTTTAGTGATATGTACGTGCCTCTGCTTGAAACTGTTGATAACCTTGATCTGATGCTTGGGAAAGTAACTTCACAGCCACTTGAACATCGTCTATAAGGCCGTAGTAAACCATCCCGAAACCTCCTTTGCCTAGAACTCTCTCAAAATTTTTTGTCATCTTCAAGACTTCTGAAAATGTAAATTGTCGCCTTTTTGTCTCCAATAAGTCACTAGATTGGTTTTTGCTTTCTGAATGATCCATCAACGAAACAGCAGTTTCATTTTGTCGTTTCTTCTTTGATCTAACAATCCAAAAGATGATCGTTGCAATTGCAGCGATGGCTACCAATCCACCAATTGATGCTACTATTGGAATAACGACATTATTCTTCTTACTCTTCTTAACACATGAATCTGATAGACATGCATCTAGATTTGGATTTCCTTCAACACTATCAATAAGGTATAATAGAAACAGGTTAGATTTTTGTCGTGAAGTTATTACCCTGTTTTGGCTAAAACTGGATGAAGATATAAAAGTTGTAAAGACAGACAAGTATGTGTCTGTGTATGCATAAATTTTTATCAGAAAATAAACCTTAACAATAATGAACCATCATCGAATTTCCTAATGAGTTCAGGTGGAACAAGCCCAGTGAGCTTGTTGTGTTCTAACTTCCTGCAAATAGAGAAATCGATGTCTTAATATTGTGTATCCTCATTCTTACAACTCAAGTTGGGTTATGCCATCACTTACAGGACTTTAAGGTTTGATAATTTAGAAAGAAAAGTAGGGATATTTCCTGTCAGGTTATTGTTGGATAAGTCCCTGCAAATATCAAATGCAGTCAATGACTAAAATAGTTCCAATTGGGGTGGGGTTGAATTTATCTAACCAGTTACTTACAGAGTTTGAATCATTTCTAGATTGGATATGTATGAAGAAATCTCCCCAGCCAATCCACTCGAGGACAAATTCCTGAATATAGAAAGTCACTTATTTCACGTAAACATTTTAGAAGTTAAAGGAATATATCATGAGTTGCTTACAGAGAGACAATTCTAGGAGTGGTCTCATAGGTACAATCTATACCCTCCCAAGGGTATTCTCTTGGAACGCATGGATCTCCTACCCAATCTTTGAGTATTCCATAAGTTGATTTGATGTTTCTTATCACATCCACTAATTATCCATATATCATACAAGAGTTAGAATTAGCTAAAGATGTTACATGAGAAAGGAAAACTTAAATAGAGAGAATAAGATTTAGCATATACCATCTCCTTGATTAGATGCTAGTTCCGAGAGATCTAGCGGGGAGTAAATTTCTATAGCATTTATGATTGGAGGGAGTGTTGAATTTTCAATTGGAACAAGTGAGAATAGATGCTTTTTAGTTGGCACTCGCGATGGTAAAGGATTAAAGATGGTTGTTGTGTACAGGTTGGGAATAAGAGGCCCGTACCAAAGATTCCCATTATAGGTGATGTTGAATCCTCTGGTTTGATTGGCTTTGAGATCTTCAACTTCAGCAAAGTGCATGAATACATAATATTGGGTGTTCTCATCATCTGACTCCCACCAGATCTCTAAGGGCTTGCTTGTATTTATTCGAATAGCTGCTGTTCCCATGACAGCAGACCCTGGCTGGTAATAATTGTTTTGACCTGAATCTATTGCAAGCATGGTACTTATACTCGTCCACTCGTACCAGCTGAAAGGCACCCAAAAGCGATCATGGATATCATCAGGAAACCTGGAGAGAAGTTAACACAAGTTTTAGAAGAATTACAAGTTTCCTGATTAGAATGTCACATGTAAACATTTCCTTAGTTTCGCTACAAACCTGTATGTTTTATTAGTTGTTGTGCCATAATCAAATCGAATTTGAAGCAACAATGATCTTGATTGGACCTCATAAGTCTCATTGGGCAAAGGTCTGAATTCCAAAGAAGAGATAAATGGAGTTCCATTGTTTGTGTTTACAAGACAGATTTGTATTTGATTGTTTGAGGTCACATATATGGTATCTATTGTGGCATCAATGCTTTCATCAGTTAAATTCATTGTCCTCCATAAGCTATCTCCAAAGTAGAGATCAAACATAGGCAGTTTTCCAAGCCCATCATAATTTCCATACAAGAAACTTGCTCGCATCAAATATTTGGTGTCCCTTCTAATGCTTATATTGTAACAATTCCTGCGTCCTTGAGGAAAACTTCTAACATGATGATATTGTCGTGAAAGAACTTTTTGATAATTAGAGGATAAGCTTTTGCTTATGCCGCTGTTTATATAGGCAGCATCAGAAGTAAAACGAAGTGTTAATGTTGGTTCAGTGTAACTTGTGTCTTCTGGCAATCCACAATCTAAGCTGATGAAACCTAACAACGAACAAGCGAAACTTACAGCCGATTGGTTGTCTGAAGAAACAATTTAGCAGAGTTTAAGATTGATGTACATACCTGATTGATCTTGAGCTTGAACAAGAGTGACAAGAGCTAAGCCACCCAAAAGAGCAAAGATCAAATATTTTAGATCATCCATGATGATCTTCTTAGTCTAATTTTGCTTGTGAGATTTTAAATTTATATCAAAGTGTTGATGGTGGGTAGCAAGTATGTTGTTTCTTATTCATGATTGTTGTACTTCGTTTTGATTGAGTAAATGGTTTAATTAGGGCAAGTTTCAGTAAACAAATATTGATTTAATTGACTTTTTAAGGATGATAAGATAGCTGATGGTAGAATTAAACCAAGTCAAATAATTAAGATCGAGTACGTACTGTTCATGTGCATGCAGAAGGGTTATTATTTTCTAGTTGTAGGTGAATTTATAATAGTATCATTGACCAAGGGTGATGCTACTATTTATTTTGTCGTCTATCTTTTCTATTTAAAGGGAAAAAAAAAGATTATGCAGTCCTCATTTTTATTTTTAGAATGTTCAATTATAATTTTAGTCTCGAAATCCGGGTCCTGGKGCGGACGTGGTTGGCCCTGGGTATAGGGAAGCAAAACTCCGACTCTCAGTTATAAAAAGGGAAAAAAAAGTTATATATATAATTTTTATCTTGGTTTCTTGTGTTTTTTAAATTTTAGGTTTTTTTAGTACAATAAATGTGGGGATTAGGTTCGTGTTGGCTAATGCTTGATTGAACCTACGTTAACTTTTTAATACAACACATGTTAGGACATTAATATATATATACTCAAAATTATATTTTCTATTTGTTAAAAGTAAAATAATAGTAAAGAGAACTGGTTAAGCACCTATCGATCGGGAGGTCATGTGTTTGAATCTCTAACCCAAAATATTCGAGAATGAAAATTAAATTTGAAAAGAAAAATTCTCCCCAATTTCCAACTTTCCAATGGGAGAGAAAAAAGAAACTTATTTGGAAAACCTAAAGACCCTTTCCTTAAACTAACGGAATACTAGTTGATCATTTAGTTGATCATTTCATATTTTCTATTTAAAACAAAAAGATGTTGATTCTTCCCCTTTTTCAGAATTTAAATAATGTAATGTCAAAGGGTTACTTTTTTTTTTTAAATGAATTATTTATTTGAGAACTATACTGTTTTCACATTGCAAATCCGAATATAGCTTGATAGACCACATGGGTTACTTTCCTAGTTTTGAGGATAATTTTAAATGGTCATTGTATTTGTATATATAATTAATTGTTACATAATTATCTAAAATATACTAATGATCACTATCAAGGGTAATTAGTGATCAATAAAGTAAAAATTTACTTAAAAAATAATGACAAATTATTATATTTATATTTTTTTTAAGAAAACAAATTTGATACTTATGTTTATTTTTTTAAAATATTAAATACTCTTAAAAAATGAACCTACTAATTAAAAAAAATACATTTGTAAATACTTCAAAAGATTATTACTATTAATTTGACTTTTCAGTGATTGTTTTATTTAAAAGAAACAAACAATTAAGAGGAGATAGTAGAAAGATAGTGGCATATTGACATTTTAATTAAAATTTAAATATTGCAACTTCGAGTATTGAAGGCTAAAATACATAGAGAGGAGCAAAATACAGATCCACTAGTTGTCTTGTTTGCTATAGCTTGAATCCGTGATCGACCTATATATCAAAAGCAGTTGTAAAATGCTACTTGACTGATGCTTTGAGTCACTTGGTTTTCGACTTGTATCGTATTTGCTACGACTTCGTGTTCTCTTTACCAAGCCACCGTCTATGAGTTGTTGGCTCATTCTTCTCCCTTATTATTGGGTGAACCCATATATATATTTTTCTAATAATGTAGTTTTTTAGTCAATTTGAACGTAGTTCAATTTAATGTTGTTAAATTATATATATACTTTAAACAAAAAAAAATAATAATAAAAGTTTAGGGAACCTAAGTCAAAATATTATAACAAAAAAATAGAACTTTAAGAACTAAAATAGAGAGGAAACTAGGAGACATGTAACTTAACCATAATTAAACCCAAAAAAAAAAAAAAGATCGTCCGAAGCATTTGCATTTTACAAGAACGGGAAAAACAAGGAGCATCTTCAGAAATTTACAAGGCGACGGTAATTGCGCGATAGCGATTTCTGGTTTCCAACACAGATCTTGCACCAAAATTTCACCTCGCCATTGGAACGGATCCACCGTAATCCATAACAATGGACATCATATTACCCGAATTCGTCGAATCGAACCCTCGACTTTCCGGCGTCCGTTCCAATTCCATGGCCAAGCAATTCTTCAGTTCCGCCACCACTTGCCCCATCGTCGGTCTTCTACCGGGGCTACCCGCTAAACAATTCATCGCTATTTCCACCGCCTTCCAAACCGAGTTCACATCATAATTTCCTCTCAATCTTTCGTCCGCTATTCCGTTAATGTCCCCTTGAGCCACCATGGTGTTCGCCCACTTGCTGATATGGGCGTTCTCTTCATTTCTTGATATCACTGGTCTGCAGCTGATTATCTCCAGCAGAGCAATCCCGAAGCTGTACACATCACTTTTCTCCGTCAGCCGGTTCGATATGTAGTACCTGAGACACAATGGGTGAAGGTAAATTTATTGTTTTATTCGTATTCGGCCATGAATTTGGGAGGAAATGATATGGCATTGTTGGGTTTGAGCAGATAACTTAGGTGGTTTATGTTAAATTTAGTGTCTTATTCATATTCTAATATTAGTTGGGAAGAAGGGTTTGATACTACGTTCTTAATGTAATTTTTGCACAAAGATCTTGCTGTGAGAGGGAGTTAGATTTGGTTCTTACTCTGGATCAAGGTAACCGGGAGTACCAGCAACAATGGTGGACATGTAGTTGCTGTTGTTGTTGTTCCCATCTGTTGGGAAGCTCTTGGACAAACCAAAATCTGCAAGTTTGGCTTGGAAATTCTCTGTCAACAAGATGTTTGTTGTTTTCACGTCTCGGTGGATTATAGGGGGCTTGCAACCATCATGCAGGTACTCCAATCCTGTTATTTTTTTCTGTTAGAACTTCAGTGTAGATGAGGTGTTTGTAAAAATGCTCATGTGAACAATCAATTTACCTTGTGCTGCATCCATGGCTATCCGGAGTCTATCTTGCCAACTTAAGACATGTGAACTCTTCTCTGTTTGAATTTGACAAGTTGAGAAAAAAATAACAATAAATGTCAAACTTTTGGGGATGAGATTGTTTAGGTAGTCTAATGCTAAGTAGATTACCTGAAAGATGCTCTGCTAAGTTTCCATTGGCCATGAACTCATAAATGAGGCCGAGGCGGTCTCCTTCATTCAAATACCCCACGAGGTCTGTCAAGTTTTTATGGTGAACTCTCAGCAGAAGCGTAACCTGCAAAATGGGAAACAACATTTTAGTGTATTTTATTATGAGGGTGAAGTTAACCTAGAAATTAACTTTAGTTATATATACATGCCTCTGCTTGAAACTGTTGGTAACCTTGACCTGATGCTTGAGAAAGTATCTTCACAGCCACTTGAGTGTTGTCCATGAGACCATAGTAAACCATCCCGAAACCTCCTTTGCCTAGAATTCTCTCAAAATTGTTTGTCATCCTCAAGACTTCTGAATATGTAAATTGTCTCCTCTTTGTCTCCAACAAGTCACTTAATTGATTGTTGGTTTCCGAGCGATCTGTCTTTGAAACTCCGTTTTCATTTTGTCCTCTCTTCCTCGATTTAACAATCCAAAAGAAGGTCATTGCAATTACAGCAATGACTATCAATCCGCCAATTGATGCTACTATTGGAATAATGACATTGTTCTTCTTACTCTTGCATGAATCTGATATACAATCTAGATTTGGATTCCCTTCAACACTATGTCAATAAGGTCCAACTGAAACATGTTAGATTTTTGTTGGAAGTTTATTCTGTGCTTTGCTTATGTCAACATAAGCACAAGGTTTTGTTAGAAAACAAACCTTAACGATAATGAACCGTTATTGAATCTCCTAATGAGTTCAGATGGAACAGATCCTGTGAACTTGTTGTTCTCTAAATTTCTGCAAAGAGAGAAATCAGTTTCACAATATTGTGTATCCTAATTCCTACTACTTGAGTTGGCATCACTTACAGGACTACAAGGTTTGATAAATTAGACAGAAAATCAGGGATATTTCCTGTCAAGTCGTTGTTAGACAAGTCCCTGCAAATATAAAGGTGGTCAATGACTAAAATAGTTCCAATTGGAGTGGGGGGTTGAATTCATCTAACCATTTACTTACAAGATTTGTAACATTTCTAGATTGAATATCATTGGAGAAATAATCCCTGTCAATCCACTTGATGACAAATTCCTGAATACAAAAAGTTTCTTATATCATGTAAATGTTTTTGAAAGTTAAAAGGTATATTTGATCATGAGTTACTTACAAAGACAAAATTCTAGGAGCAGTTTCATTGGTTTTGGTACAATCTATACCCTCCCAAGGTTGTGCTCTTGGAACGCATGGATCTCCTTCCCAATCTTTGACTATTCCATAAGTTGACTTGATGCTTTTGATTGCATCCACTAATCAGCCATGTATTGTACAAGAATTAGAACTAGCTAAAGATCACTTGAGAAAGAAAAATTCAAAGAAAGTGAATATGATTTAGCATATACCATCTCCTTGGTCTGATGTTAGTTCTGAGAGATTTATCACGGAATAGATTTCTATAGCATTTATGATTGGAGGGAGCGTTGAATTTTCAATAGGAACAAATGAGAATAGATGCTTTTTGGTTGGCACTGTCGTTATTGGTCCTGTACTGTAAAGCGTTATCGTACTCAAGGGAGGAGGAATGAGGGGACCGTACCAAAAACTCTCATTATAGGTGACGTTGAATCCTCTAAAACTCTTATTGGCTTTCAGATCTACAACTTCAGCAAAGTGCATGTATACATAATATTGGGTGTTTTCATCTTCTGGCTCCCACTCGATCTCTATGGGCTTGTTTACATCTTTTTGAGTAGCTGCTGTTCCCATGACAACAGTCCCTGGCTGATAAAAATTGTTATACACAGAATCTATTGTCTGATTGGTACTTATGCTTCCCCATTCAGGCTTGTTGTAAGGTATCCAATAGCGATCATAGATATCATCAGGAAACCTAGAGAGAAGTTGACACGATTTTTAGGAGAATTATGAGTGTCCTAATTAGAATATGTTACATGTATCAAAGAAATGTTTATTTGCAACAAACCTATAGATTGTATTTGCTGTTGTACCATAATCGTATCGACGGTAAAGCAGCAGGGATCTTGTCAAGACCTTATAAGTCTCATTGGGCAATGGTCTAAATTCTAATGAAGAGATGAAAGGAATCCCATTGTTTGTGTTGACAAGACAAATATGTACTTGATTGTTTGAGGTCACATGAATAGAATCTATTGTGGTATATGTGTTTTCATCAGTAATATTCACTGTCATCCATAAGCTATCTCCAAAGTAGATATCGAATATCGGCAGTTGACCGAGTCCATCGTAATTTCCATACAAGAAACTTGCTCGCATCAAATAATTGGTGTTTTCCTGAACGCTTATATTGTAACAGTTCCTCAATCCTTGGGTGAAGCTTCTAACATAATGATACTGTCGTGGAATATATTGTTGATAATTAGAGGATAAGCTTTTGCTTACACCGCTGTTTATATAATCAGCATCAGAAGTGAATCGAAGCATTAATGTTGGTTCAATGTAGCTCGTATTTGCTGCTAATCCACAATCTAAGCTTATGAAACCTGAAAACAACACATGAAACTTAGCAACTGATAATCATAGGAAGATCAGTAGAGAATTAGAGAGAGTTTAAGATGAACATACACACCTATTTGACCTTGAGATTGAACAAGATTGACAAGAGCTAGACCACCCAGAAAAGCCAAGATCAAATGTTCTAAAACATCCATGATTACCTTAATCTAATATTTGTAGAGTTTTATATCGGTGAGCGATATCAGGCAGTGGGTATGTAGTTTTCATATATATTAATGATTTGATTGATATGCTTTGTTTTGCATTGAGTTAATGATTTAATTAAGGATAGTTTCAATAAACAAAGATTAATTTCATTGACTTTCTTTAGAATGGTGTGACAGCTTACGATACAATTAGACCAGATCAAATTGAATTAACCAAGCTTGAGTATGCATGATGTCTGAATATGGATTATTAATATTTTTTGTAGTCGTATGTGAATTTACAATAATATTATTGACCAAGTGATTTTTTTTTTTGGTCAACGATCTTTTCTGTTTTACAAAAATCAATTTATTTAGTAGTTGTTTTCATTGTTTAGAAGGTCAAATTACAATGTTAATCTTAACTTCAATTCAGGCACTATGGTTTAAAAAAATATATTTTTAGCTTTATATTTTGCTTAAAGTTCACCAAACATTCTGGTGAGAAGCAGTAAAGTCAACTAGAGGAAATTAAAGGAATCAGTAAATGGTTTCTATTCTTGATAATCATGATATTTATCCTGTTGATTTGGTTGTCAAAAAAGCGTATTGTTTTTTTTTTAATAATACAACATGTGGGGTAGAGATTTGAACCCATGACATTTTGGTCAGAGATATATGTYTTAACCACTTAGCTATGCTCGGTTTGGCAACTTTCATTCTCTCCTAACCAATGATACTTCTTAATCTTTTCGATTTTTTGTTTAAATGTTGGTTCTTTTATTTTGTGGAATATTTAAAAAATATTGTGCCGTTTTAAGAGTATATGTTTCTGGACGGTTACATTTTTTTATACCTATTTTATAACTGTCATGTCATCTCCTAAATTGTCATATTCATATTGTTGTGGTAAACTGTTTTCTCTTAAAAGCAATCCTAGTGAAGCATGCATCCAACTAAAAGGTACTGTTTTTTTTTTCTTAATCAAATCTTTCTCGTGAAAGAGGAGTGTTCGGTATACGATTGGAAAGAAACTTAGCAACTTGAGTATAGTTTCATTTGGTCAAAGTATATATCATCGACTAACATGTCATACGTTTTAAGAAGAAGACTCTTTTAATAACTAGGGAAATCTTGAATTTAAGAAGCAAAATCAAAATTTGTTGGAAAATCTCGAATTTGGAGTTCACACACCAAAACTAAGGAGTCAGCAACGTAATGGAGTGGATAAGACTTCTCTGTATTGGGTACAAAATTTCTTGCCATTTTCCTGGTTGCCAAACAGAACGAGACTTCTCTGTTCATCATTGATCGATGTAGAGATTTTACGATTTAGGATCAAATTCATTTTGGTCTCCCACCTATCAAAGTTGATATAATCCTTTAATTTTGCGTAGCATATGGTTGAAATTTTGAATAATGCAATGAAAAAAGTCAAGATTCAAGAGTCAATATTGTACAAAATATTCAAATTTCACTGCAGATTCACACCATAAATATACAAATACACATACAGCTTAAGCTTCGTCCCTTCAACTTCCAGCAATGGCTGCCCCTAAATTCTCTCTGAGCTCCATTTTCGTGACGGTTCTTGTCTTCACCATGGTTCTCTCTCCCATGATCTCCACCGCTGCCGCCACTCGTTTGCCTCTCCAAGGTAAAAAATTGTCAAATCACTGTTATACCCAAAAACTTTGGTTTTCGAGTAAAATATTAATTCGAGATCCAACGATGTAAAAGAGGAAAGAAATCAAGGAGAGTAGAGCTAGAAATTTTCTTAGAAGGGGCATGTTTAAATACTATTTTAATTTATTATCGTCTTTCTACTTTTAAAATGTTCCATTTGATTTTTGTATTTTTAATTTTTTTTCATTTTAGTTCCTATACACTTTCAAAATACTCATACTCATTTTGGTTTTTATACTTTTGAAAAGGAACTATTTTGATCTTTGTACTTCATCTTTTATCTCATTTTTTAATCACGAATATTTCAACGTGACACTAATATTCAATAAATTTATTAAAATGTTCGAATAACTTTAGATTAAATGGTCTCCATTGTGTATAAATTTTGTGTTGAAATATTATGCAAAACCAAAATGTTCCCTTCTTTAAAATTAGGACCAAAATTTATATTTTTAAAGTAGAAGGATTAAAATGAACAAAAGTTGAAAATACAAATATCAAAAGTTTTGAAAGTAAAAGAAGTTTAAACCATAACTAAAAGTACAGAAATCGAAATAGTATTTTCGGTTAAATAAATGATATTGCATACCTTTCACTTACTAGTGGAGTTTAAGGGATATTATCATATTAGTTTAGAGCACATTTAAATTTAATCGTTTATGTGTTTAAGAAATTTTACGATTAAACTTTTGGGTTCGGTGATGATGCAGTTAGAAGGCCACCGATATGCCCGGCCTGTGTGTGCTGCAAGCCGCCTCCGCCGGGCTCTTGCTGCAAGCAATGCTGTGCTACACCTATTGAAACTTCGTCTCAAAATGGATCGCCATGAAACCTGTAGCTCATTCGAGTAAATGAAATAATTTGCAGATGCTTTGAATAAGGGAGAAGATCATCACTCTCCATGCAAAATAAATAAGGCTTTATGTTTTCTAATTTGGTTAGTGTTGTGTTTATGTCAACTAATTAAGTCAGTTTAATTGCTTTCCATCTTTTAATCTATGATGGTCACCTATTTAGGAATCAATTTTTCAAGTAAAATCTTTTTGGTAACTAAATGTAGTAGGCGAATGGTTCAGTCTCACCTTTTCAATTGTTGAACTAAAATAATAAATAATAAAAGCAAAACTCACAAAAAAATAACATAATTTTCAGACGGTCACCTGTCTAAGAATTAATGGAGAATCTTACCTCTATTATTCCATGTCTCTATCAACAACTCGAAATTTGAATGTCTTTGTATAAAATAGAAAAGAGCGTTGAGAAGTAAAAGAATGGGATTAAGGGAATATTGAAAAAAAGGCTCTAACACTTGTCGTTTTTATAGAAGCTTTAATTTTCGTGCTTATCTTAATTGTCGGTTAAGTTTATCATGGTGAAAAGGAGCATTGAAATGGTCTTTGTTTTTTAATATTCAAACAATTAAAAAAAATATTGAGGCGATTTAAATTCCATCAAGTTTATCTTGATTGGATCGAGAATCCAAATCTCACAAACACATATATTCATTATTTTACCATATTTATTGTACTAAAAAAACATAGTCACAACTTATATGGAGAAATGATATTTTGACTGTCGTCAATTTTTTATTTATACCAATCATTTTCTGTCTTTCATACCAAGATTACCCAAAATTTAGTTGATTATATCAAATAATAAATATATATACGAATTTAAGAAATCTATTTGTAGATTTCATTCTCGACATAAAAATAGCTGTGACTATAGATATTAGCCACTTATTTTGATACTAGCCAATTTTTTAAAAAAAATAAAAAATGAATAATTGAATAATATTTTTAAATTTATTGGTATTTCTAAAAAGATATTACAAATAAAAAATTTATTCGTAAGGGAAGAAAAAAGTTTTAAATGAAAGAAGAAAATGTCAAACCATTGCCATCACTTGCTACCGTCAAAGAAGAAAGTGTCAAGGTTTTGACAAAAAGGAATATTTTTGTTGCTAATTTTGAATGAATTTTTCTAAATAGAAAAGGGGAAAAAATTATGTTTTAATTCATACCCTCGTCCTATCTGATTGGTCAGAACAACAGGTAAATGTTAGCGGAACCACAGTCAGCATCTATCTTCACACTGACCGCTATTAAACAATTGACAGCTCATTAATCATCTTTTTCAAAAACAAAAAAAATATATACATAATTTTTACCTTTCTTTCTCGTAAAAAAAGGATAGATAGATTATGATTAGTCATCATTTAAATATTATATCATCATACCTATATTTGAACTTAAATAAGCGATCAAATTGATACTCTTTATTACATTAAGTTCCCCATTTATTTGAGAATTTCTAGTTATGGTAGGCACCTTCCTAGTAAGTGGATTAAGCTACTTCTCAAAAAAAAAAAAGGTTGGTTCTTTAGTAATTTTCTGGCTTGAAATAATATTAAGGCTAAATTATAAGTTTTGATCCCTGCGGTTAAATCTATTCAATTGTTGTACATTTATAATAGTTATATCTATTAATACATAATTTTGGTCCTTTGAGATTAATCAAATTAGACCAATTTTTAAGAATGGAAAAGATTGACAAACTTGCAAAATAGAAGGATTACACAGCGGCACGTGGACACTCTATGCTAAGCCAGAATGAGGATTTTGGTTTTTTTGTGAGGTTTAAGTACACAAATAATCCATATCGAGATGCTAATTGCATAAATTGGATAACTATTTAAAGTTTGCACTTTTGTCTAAAGAATGCCACGTTCAAGGCAAAGGCCCGCTGTCAATTTAGTCCATGTCAATTTAGTCCTGAAACTTAGAATATAACAATTTAGTTTCTAAGTTTAACGTCTGTAATGATTTAGTCTCAATTGTGAATATTTTTGTTAAATTTCTTATATATATAGATCAATAAACCGATGAATGATTGAATTTATTTATAAATTACAAAAATTAAATCATTATATAGTAAAAAATTAAGCTTAATTTTGATAAGAATTTTCGTGGTACGAAATAAATTATTACAAATTTTAAACTATAGGGACTAAATTGTTATATATTAAAGTTCATGGACTAAATTGTTGTCAATAAAAAAGTATAGAGACTAAATCGTTACGATTAAAATTTAAGGAACTAAATCGTTGTTTTAATAAAAGTATAGGAATCAAATGTGTTTTTTAACCTAAAAAAGACCAGAAAGGAAAACCATGATTTTTGGTGGTTTCAATTTGAAATCCAAATATTTTAGGGAATCAAATCACGCAACTCACCGCGTTTTAGAGGTACATATAACCTAAAATACAGGTATATGTTTATAATATTCTTTTTACTAAGTTAAATCTTGGCATAACACTATAGTTTTGTGTACAGTAATTCGTGGTATATAATAAAAATACCATTTTGGATAGGTATGAAGATGCAATGAGATATATATTTTATAACATTTGTGATGGGTATACATATAATATCATGTATTTAAATAAATTGACTATTCATATTGATTGTTATACGTAACATAAAAATTACATAGTTGTTTGAAAATAAAAATGACAAGTATATAGAGGAAAAACATTAAAACAAAAATAGTACGAAATCGTACCCATAAGATTCGTCTAAGAAAAAAAAAGGGAAATT